TTCTCTGAGAAGCAAACAGCCAGGGGCGGTCAACGCAGCTCGTCGGCCAACAGTGGCACGTACAAGACACCTCCAACATGAGTTTCCAAACAAAGGAGAGCTATCTCGGAGCAACGCAGAGAGACATAGCTTCAGCCAAAAATCGACCAGGGATGACCAGACTCTTCGGAACTTCTTTTCAGCGGCACCTCTTCCCGTTTTTGCTTGGCAAGTTCAAGCCAATCGGCCAGCACCACACAGAAATATACATATATATATATATATGTGTTTTTTCTACAGATGTATACACACATGTCTTTTCCGAGGGTACCCCTTTTCCCCTAAAGGAAGCCACATTTCATTCCCCCCACCCCGATTTTGGCACATCGGTTTAAACGTTTTTAACCTTTGGGGTCACTGGTTAGGTGTTGATCCGCTACAGCAGCTTCCCGATCCACCGCTCCTGCCTCTCGCGCCTGCAACGCTTCGCCCGGATCTCTGGGGGCAGCATCTTGAGCATTCTGCGCCTGGGCTTGGCGTGCCTTTGGCGGAAAGCAGGGTTTCAGTCTCCACATGGGACCTGCCAAATGCGTGGATTTCAAGGCTTTTTTGCTTTAGAAGGCCGTTGGCACACCTCCAAAAGGCAGTAGGCAAAGCAGATCGGGGCAGGAGTCAAGCACATGTGGCATCTGAGCTTCGGTCTATTTGCAGGGCCCCGTGATTCCGTTTCACTGCGTAGCAGGTTCCCAACAGAATCACCCCGTAAAGAACTAAGATGAGGACGGCTGGTGTATCGGGGATCCATTGGGGAAGTTGTGCCTTCAGTAGGCGGGGGTGTTTTCCCCGTAAGGGCAAGCAGTCAAAGGCCACGTCCCTCAGATCCCTGTAGAATGCCATTTGCTTCTTTCGAACAATTCCAACCAGGATGAGGATGCTTCTTGCAGGGAAAATGGGACACCACTTCCGAACCTCCAGGCCACCACCAATTCAAACCGCCAATTGGGGGAAAGCTGTCATTTTTTAATTAACCTTACCCCAGAGTGGTTTTGATGTTTTCTGGCGGCCCAGCTCCCAACCAGGTGGGGATACCATCTCATCCACGTCGTTGCCTGCGGCACCAGCGACTTGATCTTTGTCCGAGGCGACGTGTTGGAGGCCGGGGCAGCAGCTGGCTGGAATGTGCGTCTGTATAGTTTTCCAAACTCCGTGGGTCGGTTTCAATGGCTCTTGCAAAGAGGGCATAGGAGTTCAAGTCGCTGGTCGTCCGAGGCCAAAGATCTGAGCTTCCCAGCGGCCGACGACCCTGCGGGCCTTTGCGCGCTAGCCGCCTTCCAGTGCGGTGCAGGGAAGGCACGGAAAGTGCTCAGAGGAGGGGGGGGGAAGGCTCCCCGGTTGGACGGGAAAACCAAAGAATATGCCAGTTCGCAGGCTCAAACTCCCCAAGAGTCAGTAGATGAACCGACAATTTGCTTGATCACCAAATGAAAGCCAATGGCAGGCAGCCTTGGGATTGTCAGATTGACTTCCAAAGCCTGGCGAGGGATGCTGCCAGCTGCTTCTTTTGCAAGTTGAGGTGCATTCAGGGCCAGCCTAGCTAGCCATGATTACTCCTCCAGGAAGGCGGTCATTAAGGTAGCACCTGGAAGACAAGTGTCCACTCGAAAAGGCCCAGGTCCGTGCCCGTGGTTTGGAGGGCCGGTCAGCTTTGCTTGGGTTCTACTGAGCGGCTTTGTCCGATGCGGATTTGGTGTTCTTCGACTTTGAGGTTCTTGCGCAACTAGGTCAAGCACCAAGACCACTAAGGTTTATCCAATGTTTGTTTGCACACACTCCATAGTCATGGTTCTGATAGACTGAATTTGGGGCGTTCGCATGGTGACGAATCCAGGTGAGTGATGTGTTGCCGTGTGGCTGTCTGCGTGTTTTGTGTGCTTCGGGGTTTGGTGTCAGAACGACTTGTGGAGTGACGAGACTTTTCACCGGAGAGGCGAACTGTCAACACAGCTGGCCATGGCCTCGGCCCAGCCAGGAGCGAAGGTTTGGGTTTGGAGGGGAAGGGCCATTGCGCCCAGCCTCGTTTTTCAGCTGCATCCTTTGGCTTTGCAGGCATGGAGGTTCCATACCGCTGAAGGGGTATTCAAGAGTTACAAGCTGATATTGGGGTACAAGCATTCATAACTGCATGAGGTTATTGCGAAGTGTTGGACCTTTTCTGAAAACATTGCACAACAGTAGGCCCTGTCGTAAGTTGGCATAGCCGGTGGCCACAGGCACTTGGATGATGATGTTTTGCTTTAAGCCTTGGGACCAACATGCCAATCTCACGTTGTTTTTGTCGTTGGTTCTGCAGGTGCGCTCGTCGGCACTTTGTTCCCTCTGTAGCGCCAGAATTCCGCGCCAGTTTTGCCTTGGAGGCTACCCCCGAAAATAAAGTAAAAATAAAACTTGCGCATCCAAAGTGGTGTCCTCTACAATTGGATGTGTTTACTTTGGGCATGACTTCTGCCTAACCCACAGACATTAAGGCCCCCTGGCCTCGCCAGAAGGATTATCCGAACCCCAAGAACCCTGACAGGTGGGCTCCTTTGGCATCCTGTCGCTGGTGCTTAGGTGGTTTCAATCGAGGCTTGGCGATTTGCTCAGCTCTTGTTGTGGGTAAATGGGAAACGCCTCGCCGCAAGGGCGCTACCACGCGCCAGTTGTTGAGTGGCACTCTTCTCCCCTTTTGGTTTGGCAGCTTCCCCACCAAAACGGATCAACCCTTCAAAGGGTTCCCTTTTCTGCCGGCACTAGAGGCTAAACCAACAACCGTGGCTGGGCTGAATGACTCGCTTCGCAGGAGCTGCTCGCCACTGCCGCCGATGTCCTGGCGGGGGACTTCCTTTTGCCCGACACGCCGGCCGAGAGGCGGGATGAATTCGCGCCCGGTTGGCCGAAGCAGGTTCAATCAAAGTGCCTTCCCGTGGTGGTGCTTTTGGGATGCCTTGAGCGAACATGTTGAGCTGTTCCAGCTTGTTTAAACAGTTTAGAGGCTCCCATTTGAACATGTGATTTGTGGTCTTTCGCAGGGAGCATCGCGTTCGACAGATTTCCCAGCCTAGCGTTGTCAAGGCCCTGCTCTCACTTGAAGCTTTGTTAGGGTTTGATCTGGGGCCGTGTGCTTTTCGCGCGTGTCAGAGGTGGGTGTTCCTCTAAGAAAAGTTGTAATTAAATTGGGCTCCATAGCCTGCAGGAGTGTAGAGACCCTCCCCCAAAAGCGCAATACCATGAGTCAAAACCGATGGCCACAAGGTGGCGAAGGAAAATCAAAAAGCCAACAGGAAGCCCCGGAGCCAGGCGCTTCGGGAGATGCTGAGTACTCCCTGAAAATGCCTTGGGTCTTCAGGCAACACCAAGTGATGTTCTCTTTGCACGTAACTCTCCTGGGGAGGTGTAGGCACTTCCTCGCTCAGGGCTCAAAGGGATCTGCGCCTGCTGAAAGAGGAAGATTGCAAACTGGACCCCACCTGTCCACGGGGGTTTGGCGCTTGCAACTACAGATCTGGCGTTGGTTCACCGCGAGTCGGCAGATTCCAGCTACAAAACAACCACCCCCTTGCTGATCGAGCAGGGCTCGCTTAATGCGGGTTGTTGTCCCTTCTTTCTTGCTGCTATTGGGATGGATCTTTAGACTTTAACTTGTTGGGAATCAAGGGGTCTTCCACTAAACCCCCCAAAAAGTTAAACTTTTTGCGGGGGCGTCTCAACAGCAACCAAGCTTTGCGGGATCAGTCACTCAAAGCACGCCCCGCCAGGCTTTTGGAAGTTCTGTGCTGAGCCGCGCGGGGAAGCAGGGTGGCTGCGGGCTGGGCAACCACTCATATTGAGGTCTGACCCTTTGAAAGACACTTTTCCATTGAAGGGAGGACCATCAGATCATCATGTTGATTCCATATCCCTGGTACTTTTGCACATGACCATCTAGTGGGATTTGTTTCTTCGACCTATTCATCTCCTTAGAGATCTCTGCGCACATTGCATGGCGTAGGGGGCTCCGCTTTTCTGCCGCTGGCCGGTGGCAAAGTTCACGAGATCCAACCTCCACAAAGTCGGATTAGACTGAGTGACTGGTTGGGCCTTGTTTTTGTTCATCTCAAGTCCTTGTATTGCCTTGAAACCTGGCTCTGGGAAAAGCTATGAACAACTTTCAGTTTGTTGCTTGTTTCTAGTTGGCTAGTTGTCGCTTTTCTTTGCAAACTGCTGTTGGGCGAAGCTTTGAAGTTTGTTGTCCGTTTGGCTAGTTTCATTTTGCCTTTCAAGTTGCTTTCGGGGAAGCATCAGACTTGATTCTCACAGAGGCCCAATTAGGCTGTAATCCCAGCACCCTTCACTACTCAGGTGCAACTTTACTCAGACTCTTGAACAACAAGCACTTTGAGCAAAGTACCTCTCAGGGTGAGTGGGCGAAGCTTCCCTCGCAGCATGCCGTGGAAGGCATTTGGCAAAGCAAAGACGGGCGGGCAGGCAAAAGAGAAAAGTGAGCATGAATCACAGTGCTGAGATGAACCATTTGAGAGGGCCGACTCGAAACTGGCTCTAGTGGATTGAATCTCACTCGCTTTGTGCGCGTTCAACCTTTTCAGTTAGAGAGGACTTTTGCGAGGGTCAACAGAGCAAAGAATTCGACCATAATTACAGCTTTGTCTTGGACTGGTTCAGAAAAAGCAGGAAGATCGGGGATGTTCGCATGCCCATACGCACATCAAGCACTGTTTGTCCAAGCGTCAACCGAAGGTCTTAGGATTGGTTTCCCAAATTTGGTGTTGAGGCACTCTGCTATAGTGCCTTCACTCTTTGGACTGCGGCTTGCCGTCATGCACCTGCATAAAGCCTGCCAAGGCCTCTTCAAGAGCATCACAGCTTCAGTTGCCGGTCTTCTTCGGAAGACAGTGGCTCAAAATGTTTTGCTCTAGTACCTAGGAGAGGTGCTCATGTTCTATGCGCTTCCTTTGGTCTGTGAAAGGTCGCTCAGAACGGCTCAGGAGCGCATCGAGACGGTCTACGGCGACATCGCCGAGTTCGGCGGGGAGGGCCCTGAGACACGGCGCATTAATGCGGAGGGTGCCACGGCTGCACGACGCTGCCAAGATGTGCCAAGAGAACCCCAGCCAGAAGCAAAGGCCCTAAGAGTTGGGCAAACTTCAAGCGATCAGGGCAGAAGCCAAGAAGAACGGTGGTTTGGAAGTGGTTGGCCCGACCCGACCTTCTGACACGCAGATAGATGTGCGATGTTCTACTACGGGAACCCTCTAAGGTGACCCAAGCCAAAAAGGAGTGATTGGTAGTGCTCAGCTCAGAGCAGCAAAGTCATCTTATATTTGTACGTTCTATCGTGGTCCAATCGCATGTTCGCACGGCATTGCGCCAGTCAAGCCATGTTGACGTTCCCCGGCCCCGGCGGGTGTGCACGCAGGCATACCCATGAAAGTCTTTGTCTGACTTGTTCCTTTTGACGTCAAGGTTCGGTGCTGCTGCTCTGCTCAGTGTGAGTGGGAGATTACGGATACTACCCAACAACTCTGTTTCATCCCTGCGGTGGCAGCCATAGACTGGCACGGCACGGCATAATATCCTTCTCGCTTGAATTCAGTAGGACTTCCTACCTTTGCAGCCTAGGCAACTCCTACCTGCAGAGACACTTCCCGCGGCTGAGCTACATTCGCCGTGCTCGGCCCCTGGACTGGGTGCCTGTCCCGGCAGCGCCAGGGGCCGCGACAGCGTCACAACCACCAGCACCAGTGCCGACAGGCCAGCCACAGGGTGCTGGGCGGGCAGCGGTTTCATGGTTCTTGTGTATCACTGAAAATTGGTCACTCGTTCAGTTTGCCCACCAAAGGCCGGTTGGTGATCTCTGGCTTTGCTGTATTGCTTGATTTGTGTGTTTCGTTGCTGCCATGGCATCACACCGAAGCCAGAAGGGAACCCGCCAGACAGTCAGATCAAAAAAGGACTCCCTTGGCCAGGTGGCCAGATGCCATGATGGGCAGCAGGGTTGTCCACTGGGCCGACCGCAGTTGGCTGCATTGGCTTTCTCGTTTGTTACTTAGCCATTGGGCGTCCTGGCGCCACATGCTTCACCATTCCACTGGAGTTGTTTGGGCAAGCAAGCGTTCAAGCACGCAAGCGTGTGCACCTGAAGGAAGCACCAAAATGGTTTGTTTGCATCAAACACGTGCAATTCAGTTGTACTTTCCTATTGCAGTCCAATTTGACTGACAGGGGCCCAATTGCGAAAGGCCCCAATACATAATAATTATGGTTGTTGCCCTGTCAACGCCTTCTGCTTTGGGCATTTGCGCATGTAGTGCAAGTCCAGCATGCTGAGGATGTGCGCCCATGTCAAGGTTGCACAAGGCCCTGAGTAATAGTGATGGGTTAGGGTCAGGGGCTGGCGTCGGCACATGCCCTTTTACGAAGCCACAGGCGCCAGCCTGCAAATCCAGCTTTCACATCAAAAGGCACCATCAGCACAGAGACATCCAACCACAAGGGGTTGAGGACGCTGAATCGGGACACTCTTGCGGACACCGGCAGGCGAGTCGCAGCCATCGCAGACTCCTCGGCAACAAGCTTCTGGCATGGCGAGGCTCGAAATGCCACAAGGCTTACGGAAAGTGAGGGGAAGCCCCCGGAGCTACCCAGCGGCATCCAGCTGAGGCATCCATTTGCCGAATTCCATTTGGACAATTGGGTTAGACGGCCTCTGATTCGATGCTGGGCTTTATTTGAAATTTCGGGACGCCCCTGTGTCACTTGTCCTGAAAACTAAATAAACAACTGCAAGGTCAGCTTCATCTTGATGATATCCCCTGATTTAAAATCCAAAAGGGTGATGCAGCTCAAAGATTGCGGCGCAATTTGTTGATTGAAGATTGCACCTTTCAATGGCATCCAAGCGGGCGGATTGCCGCACCCCCTTCACTACCAACAGCTGGGCGAAAGTGACGCAATTACCCCATCCAGGCTTCATTTCCCTTTGCCAAACAAGCTTGTTGTGCCATCTTGTCACCCCACTTTCCAGACATTTGTGTTTTTCCCTTGGTTTTCACCTGTTTCTTTCCAGTGAGTTCTTTTCAGGTCCACAGGAAGCCGAGGGAAACGAGGTCCAATCAGATCCTTGCCATTTGCCCCGTGAACCGGCCACGGGCGTGGGGCGTCCGCCGGCAGGAGCTCGGTGCTGAAGGCCTGCCGCGAGGCCCAGCAGCGCGCCGCGGAGGCGGCCCAGGAGGCGCTGCAGGCCGCCCAGGCGGAGGCCCGGGAGCCATCGACTCGCCATCGAGCCATCGACCCATCGACTGAGCCGGAGGAATCGGCACAAGACACGGATAGGCAAGGTGGGTAAGGTAGGGAAAGGTAGGGAAAGGTGGGGAAAGGTAGGGTAGCTAGGTGAGTCAGCTTCAAAATTACGTCATTTACTTTGTGCAGGAGTGTTTCATGTTGCTTTTTGTTTGTCTCGAAAAGCGAGACGGAACGTCCAAAAACGTTTCCCCTACCTGGTATAGGCAGTGAACTTAATTGGTTGGTTGATTGGTGCGTTGGTTCGTCCGTTGGCTGTGGGGTTCCAATTTGACCCGCCTTCAAGGCCGAATGTATAGGTCTGTGCAGGGCTCTTGGTGCCAGTTGCAGCCCAAAAATGTATGATTTCCCAGAGGATAAGCAACTAAGGTTAAACTGGCTCATGAACCAAGGGTTCGTAGACAAGGGTCCAGTGCAGCTAGCCGCGCACTCTAGCCACCTTAAGTTCTTGGTTGACTGCTTCTTGGTTGGTCGGTCCATGTATGTTGATTGGTTGTGTTTGTGGTTGGTTTTGGTTCGTTGGTTGGTTGGTTGGTTGGCTCGGGCTTTTGGCCTTCCCCGCAGCAGCCTTAAATCAACACGAACACCCGGAACCCCGCAAGCCATCCCTCAAAGTGACCTCATTGCATCAAAAACATCCCCAACTGGTGGTTCAAAGGGAAGCCACCCCCGAAAGTATTTGCGGGGTCCCACATGCAACCACTTTGCAGGCGGCCCTGTCTACCGTTTTGCCTGAGGTTGCACGGTATAACTGGCTAAGTCGGTGGACCCTCCAAGTAGTTTGAGGGCCCAACTAATTCGAACGGTCGCGCTTGAACATCTATAAGTGGTTGGATGCGGTTGATCTCCGCATGATCATCATAGTGAGTGGTGGTAGTAAGTGGTGAATCCAAGTGAATCAAGGCTTTCGGTTTCGCCCAATAGATAGTCCCGGGCTATAAGGAGATGATCCACCTTGAATTGAGGGGTTACAATCTTACATCCAGTTAAACCTTTGCCCTCATTTTTTGGGGATCTTGTTTGTTCGAGCTACCCACCGGTGTACATTCTCACGCCCAACCGTAGGTAGAGAGAGAGAGAGTGAGAGAGTAAAACATACACTTACCCACCTCTGTACCAACCTTTTGTGTCTTTTGGTTTTGGGAAACATGTAGTATAAACAACAGAAATCTTGGCTAATGACCAGCAGCCTGTTGCTTTGTTTTTGAGTGACACAAAACAGGTAGGTGGTTCGGTCGGTAAAATTCGGTTGGGTCAGAATCAAGGGCAGGTACACAAAAACAACAACAACAACAACAACAACAACAACAACAACAACAACAACAACAACAACAACAACAACAACAACAACAACAACAACAACAACAACAACAACAACAACAACAACAACAACAACAACAACAACAACAACAACAACAACAACAACAACAACAACAACAACAACAACAACAACAACAACAACAACAACAACAACAACAACAACAACAACAACAACAACAACAACAACAACAACAACAACAACAACAACAACAACAACAACAACAACAACAACAACAACAACAACAACAACAACAACAACAACAACAACAACAACAACAACAACAACAACAACAACAACAACAACAACAACAACAACAACAACAACAACAACAACAACAACAACAACAACAACAACAACAACAACAACAGCACAGCACAGCAGCAGCAGCAGCAGCAGCAGCAGCAGCAGCAGCAGCAGCAGCAGCAGCAGCAGCAGCAGCAGCAGCACAGCAGCAGCAGCAGCAGCAGCAGCAGCAGCAGCAACAACAACAACAACAACAACAACAACAACACCAACACCAACACCAACACCAACACCAACACACCAACACCAACACCAACAACACCAACACCAACACCAACACCAGCACCAGCAGCAGCAGCAGCAGCAGCAGCAGCAGCAGCAGCAGCAACAACAACAACAACAACAACAAGAAACGAACCCACAACCTGGTTGTAAGAGTATTTTAAGTACTTTGGGTCAGAAAACCTGGTTGTTAAAACCTGGTTGTAAGAGTACTTCAAGCACCTAATAACATGGCAGTTGGGCGAGAACACCTGGTTGTAAAAGTACTTTAAGTAAGAACACCCGGTTGTTTAAGAGAGTACCTCAACTAACTCAAGTAAGAACACTTTTACAAGTACTTGAGTACTTAAAGATACAAACCAGGTACTTGACACCAGCAGCAACCTGCAACACCGGCGACCCTAGGTGTGGTTGTTGAAGCCCTCTCCACGCGTAGCTCGGGTCGCCGTTCCGATGGCGTCCGAGGACCCGGAGGTGGCCTTCCAGGCGGCCGCCTTTGCGCGCCGCGCCGCGGAGGCGGCGGCCGCGGCCGCGGAGGCGGCGGAGGCCCAGGGCAACGCGCTGCGCGCCTCGGTTTTTGGTCTTGGTTTCCTTTGGGGTCTTTTGGGTTTGTTTTGCTTTTGTTTTTGTTTGTTCTGTTTTTTTGTCCCTGTTTTTGTCCCTTTTGTTTGTTTTTGGAGGGTTCGGGATATGTTTTCTTTGGGCACCACCCCCAAAGCGGTGTTTTGCTTGTAGGTGTCCCTTTTAAAGCCACGAGAAAATGGTGGTTTCCTCTTGGTTTCCGTTTAAAACCACAGAAAAGAGGTCTCTTCAACAAACGACCAAATCTTTGGGGATGCAAAGAGTCCCAAACCACGTGGGTACTCTGGCTGCACTTTGTGAGATGTGCGAATTGATGGGGCCGTCACACACTTGCGAAGGAGGTTCTCGTTTGCCCAGGAGGTTCTCGTTTGGGAAAATGTTTTGTCTGGAAATAGGATGTGGACCCTCCAATTTGGCGGCATTCCGTTTTTTCTCCAAACAAGCACCGCAAGGAGGGTATGAAAAAACGACACGCCCAGGGTTAACCCTGGTTTGTGGGTTCACCAGAGGCCTGGTGCTGGTGCATAGTAACCCTTCTGTGATTCTGATATAGATGGTGTCCAAAACCCAGGGTTTAATAGGAGAGAGCCTCTATATCGAGATGAAGCCAAAAGCAGCACGGTTTTGTCTTTTGGGTCAATGTTGGCGCCCAACAAAAGAAGCCGGCTGGTGGGTTAGGCCGTTGGACAGAATCCATCCCAGTCTTCATCGGGCAGCCATTTGGGACATCCTGTTCGTCAACCAGGGGTTAGTTAAGTGCCAGCCTCCCATTAAGCGCCTGGACCGATGGGCTCAGAAAGTAGAGATTCATTGGGGGAGGTCTGTGAAGGAATGGGAGCATTACACAGAATCTTGGGCCGGGATTTTCAGTAATGTTGACCCAGGATCAATAAATTGTTGCTTGATTCATGGAGAGTGTCCCATTCAAAGAGGAAGATCTACCCCCTAGGTTCATCAATCCTGGGTCGACATTATACTCGGGACGCCCACTGGGAATCTCCCCATGGTAGTTTGTTGATTCATGAAGTCTTGTGATGAAAAGCTCTGGGTTGAGCCAGCATTGAGCTTACAGTTTCAGGTGCGCTCACTATGACATCGAAGCTAAGATGGTTGGGGTCGAAAGCTGAGGTAAGTGGCCTTCTTCGCACATGTTCCAGCTGGCATCCCTTTGAAAGCTGTGACAGATGCAAGTCAACTCGTGGTTTGGGGTGTTGCTTGCAGCTTATGACTCAGTTCTCCAGGATTCAGAGGCTACCAGACCGGCCTGGAAGTTCAGATTGGCTTGAGAGAAGCCAGTGCCATGACATGTCCATCCCTAAACCTATCTGTAAACCATCAATTGGGAATGACCAAGGTTGGCGCGTGCTATTTGTCAACTGGTGCCACGGCGGGCAATTCCCACCCTGCTTCAAGTGCCTTCCATTTTTGAAGGGAATCTATCACTACTGGATGTTGTTTTGTTTTTTCCAGTGGCCTTAAGCAAATGGAAGATGCTTTGACGGGGTGTTCCGAGGTGCAGCAAAGCCGCCCGAGGGTCGGCGGAGCTGCTTGGCGAAACCGCCGAAGTGGATCCCAGGTTTACCGGTGACGTATGACCAACAATTGTTTCTGTGGCTTTCCAAAGTCGGGAACAAATGAGGGGTCGTTTTCTAGGGTTGTTTCCTGGGGATGTTTCTAGGGTTGTTTCTCTAACGCCAAACGCTGGGTGGTGCTGTCTGCTATCTTTCTTTCTGTTTGAAAGGCTGCAGATTGTGCCCTGCTCTTCTTCCCAGCGGTCGAGTCGGTCGCCCAACTTCTGAAGGCACCGTGACGTGAAGCATGCGCTCCAGGCATAGGTTCCTTCAACTATGTGTTCGACTCTCATGCCCGAACGCTTCAGGGCATGCGACACTGGTAGGCTGAGTCATTGCTGCTCATGAGGCCTCAAAGGGCAAGAAGGAACATGTCTGTGGCCGGATCCTTTTTTCATGAAGTCCAACCCGAAAAACAATACGGTGCACCCGTGTGCATGGAATCAACTCCTCCACTCCAGTTTCATGTTGAAGTTTGGTCGAAGATCTTCGCATCCCCAGAGCTCCATACCCGGCTCTGTCATAAAATTCAGGCCTTGCTGCGCCACCAGGGCCGGCTGGCAGGCTCACCCGGTGGGTTGCTGAAACGAGCTCACCATGATGTCACCTTTTCTTGAAGATCCCTTATTTCAGTTTCTGGATTCGGATTTTTAGATTGCTTGAAAGGTTGCAGTTTCCTAAGCATTATTTCCTCAGCGGTCTTCTGAACCATTCCCAACTGTGCGGGTCTTTCACCATATGCCAAAAAGGCTTGATGTTTTTCCAGGTTTTGTGTACATCACCCAATGACCAGCTCTGCGACGGTCCCGTGGCCTTGACATCCATGGCAGCCAACCGATGTTCATTTGCATTGCAGACAACCTTGCGCACTTGTCTAGGTCTCTTTTCATGTGTATGCTGCTGGGCTAAGCTCCTATTAAGCATTCAGACGCGCAGACTTGCAGTTCTAACACTTCCAAAACGCTACGCTCAGTCGCGCAAACTATTAGAACATGCTTGTGCCGGCCTCCTGGCTGTCAGCTGCAGCGAACCTACCCTATGAATTTTGAACGTGCTGAATGCCGAAAGCAGGAACATTGCACTCATCACCAGCCTGTTGTTGATTTCAGTCATGGGTTCCACTGCTTGGCGTGCTTGTAGGGGATGCTGGCCTTATTAGGCAAGTAGTCGTTTAATTACCATGGTAACTTAATACAGCCACTCCTTAGGTTGAGGTTGTCGCACTTGGAGACCCGCATTCGGTGAACCCTACACATCGCTTTCTAGGATTTGCGCAGCAAGGGATTGGAACGGCCCTTGCTCAAACATAGCTCGTATGGGAAGGCGGGTCAGCACTCAATCTTTTCTAGGTATGTAGCAGTGGCATTATGACCATGTCATGGATGTTGTTGGGACACATTTTTCATTTTTGCTTATTGTGGCTTAGTGAGAAATCCCCGCTTAACTGCTAGAATTGTTTGATTGTTGCTCCCCTTTCAACGTGTTGTTGCCCGCAGCATTGCGCCTCAAGCCATGCAGTGCGGGTGCCATGGTAGTTTGCGGGTTGCTCTTGCCGCTCGCATGCGCACGATCGGCCTTTTTGTTTTCTTTTGTTTTCAGCCAGTGTTGAGCCAGTTCAAGTTGGGATCCCAACGCTAATCTACGTTGGCGTGACATTTTTATTTGTAGCTCCCTGAGACACGTGAGGTTGGCCTTGGCATTCCATGCCTTCGTATTGTGTCACCTCTTGGATTATTTTCTTAGTTCAGAGGATGGTCGAGCGATCCTGCTTGATTTGACAAGTGAAAGCCCGCTCATGCGACTGGGGGAAGAGCAGTTGATGTTCTCCAACCTATTCTGGGCAGCAGTGCGGGTCGGTTTGGATACAGCTGCTTTCAAGGTGGCCTCCAAAGCAGCTTCGGCAGTTGCAACAGTGTTGTTGCTTGCGGCTTTGCTCGTGCCCGACGTCAAGGTGTACCTGGAGTTGCTGAGCGGCTGCCTGGTTCTCCTTTGTCTCCCATGGCTTGTCCGAATCAGCAGCTTCCTGGCTGGCCTCTACTTGCAAACATACGGCAATCTCGTGGGATGTTTGCTGGAGAAACTGAAGGACGTGGAGGCTGGCGTTTGTGGCTCCATTTGGAGCTTCCAGGCACATAAAACTTAGGGCGCCTTGTGAGGTTTGGAGCACAGTTAACGCGAATCGGCTGTTAGACTTGGCTTGATCCATTTCCAGGAACAGCTGCAAACCTGTTGTTTTACAGACCTTTGTTCCTTCGAGGGAAGCTTTCCGAGGCGTTCGGTCTTGTTTAAACTCAGCCTTCACGGCCAGCGTTCTTTTATAGCTGTCCCAAAAGAAGGATCAGTGTTTTGACAGACAGCCGAGGGCGTGGGCGCGTGGTGAGTGGTGTTGGTTGTTTCGACGCCTGAGTTCGCCCTTTACCTGCTCAGAACAAGTACCGCATGCAAATACCTACGTGACGAGTACGTGTGTTCATAGCAAACGCACACCTACTGTTGTGGCAAGCGTTAAGACACAGCTTGCTCGCAGGCAAAGGGTTGGGAGGATGGGAGGATGGGTAGCTCCACCAGCCCGAGGCTATCCAACGGTTTGCTCAGCTTGCGACAGAAGTTTGCCTGGCCACGTCTTCCCGACCTTCCACGGCCACCATCCACTCTGCCGCTGGTGTGCGAGGCCGCCTGGCGCGGGTGGTGGACATAACTTCCCACGTAAAGGATGTCCACCAAAGGTTCCCTTATTGGCTCTCACACCCAAGCCAGAGACCCTCACAAAAGGAACGGATTCTCGACTCACATCGCCCTGATTTGTACGGTCCGGATTTGTCAATCCCTTCATGCCGCCTGGGTTGAACTTTGTTATTGCTTTACACTTTCGCTGTGAGCCAGCGCCTGAACTTATGGCTGAAAGCTTCAGCAAAAGAAGGCATCGCACTTTCGGGTCCCATGATGTTCAACGCCTAAAAGAGTAGACCCACATCTTCCACAGGCGCTGCTTTGCTAGTTTAGGGGGACTCGCGGAGTTGCTTGCTTTGCCAGGGTTACGGGAGTTTAGATTTAGGGCTGTTTGGGCTACAAAAAATTGGCGGTTGCCCTTTCGTTTCCCTTTGCAAGAACCCGGGGAAGGTACCTTCAAAAAAGAAACGCCCACCTGTTTTCAGCCAGCAAGCTGTACAAACTCGATTGAGACATTGATTTGGGCCATGTCTCCACCTCACGCGTGAGAAGTCCACGGCACCAACAGGTTGACTGAAGGGATGCTTAAGGTGAAATTCCAAATGTCAGCTCATGTTCCTAAGGAGCACCTGACAGAGTGTGTAGCCAAGGGAGGCGACAAGGGGGCGGGGGGCTGAATTATGCATCCAGTCGGCTTCGCCTTCAGTATCCAACAAGGCCTCTCCGATTGAGAACCTTTTGGAAAACACTGTGAGGAAGTTCATCCTAGCGCGCTGCAGCACGGGCCTAGCCCCGATCTGTGCAGAGTGCGGCGAGGAGCTCACTGAGGACCTGAGCACCTTGCCCCTAGCTCGCATTTTTTCGCGCCAGTGTTTTCTCCTCTCTGCGCAGTTCTCCATGGTTTAACCTGCCTATTTGATATCGATCTGACCTGGAAAAGAACGAGCTCAGTTTACTTGCGGAGCCCTTGTCTGAAGACTTTTCTCATGGCTCCCCCATCCATGGCTGATATTGACCATGGCACAGTTGGTTTGCTGCCTTGGACACGTTTCGCAGGGGGAGTGGGTAGAGTCGAGTGTGGGAACTGCAACACGGGCAAAACACCAGTTGAGCCATGCCACTGTTGGAAGCCCCGGAACCAAAGGACTGATAGTATCAGAGTGAGTTGTGGGCTTCCCCCCCTCGTTGTCAGTTGGCGACTCAATTCATCGATTCAAACTTGATCCAATGTGGTCCGACTTTGTCCCTCGTTTTGAAGTCTTTGCAGTCCACGGTTGAACTGTTCACAGGTCCACTTTTTTGAGTTCTTTCCTTCGGGGCATCTCAGGTTACTGCACCATCCTGCGGTGCGCTGGGATGTTCGCCGCCTGCAACTGGAGAGTTGTCTGAATCATGCGGGGGGCCTCCTTTGGTGTCCAAAGCCTGGATGCAACCAGTCGATGATCCGATTGCCTGATTCAGAGTTCATCGCATGCAGCCGTGCAGCCAACTCAGTGTGGCAAGCTTGCAAGGCACTTTTCAAAAGTGTGTCAAGTACAGAGGGCAGGTTTGATCCTGACCGTTTCTTCTGCTGTCCATCTTGTGGGACAGAGTTGTGCAAGTGCTGCGGTCGAAGCAGCCGAAGCAGTCGCACGCCTTGGAACAGTCACTACAACCTATCCTGCGAGGAATTTGGACAATTGATTGGCACAATGAATTCAATGAACCAGCTACCTGAGTCGGTGAGATTTTGCCCTGGCTGCAGGATGAATATTGAGAAGAATGGTGGGTGCATTCACATGACCTGTCCCTGTTCCCATCAGTTTTGCTGGGAATGTGGCGAATCATGGAAAACACATCAGTACGAGGCGTGTAAGCCAAGAAAGTGGTGGAGAGATGAGAAGCCAGAGCCACCACCGCCGCCAAACGCCAGAAAGTCGCTGCTGAGACATGTGGGGCACAGATCAATAGACAAGCTGGTCGACAATTTGAGCTCCGGCAACTTACTGGAAGCCATTCCACGGTTCAGTGAATGAGACGTGTGCAGCTTTGAACAGGTGCTTGCTTGTTTGCCTCCGAGCTCTCTTGAGAGTTTGCAACATGGCTGGGGCTTTTGTCTGACTGATAGCGCAGCATAGTAGCCTGCTGCCTCCTACACAGATCCAGAAGGAACCACTCTGACCGGCTATCATTGATAGTTTGTGTGTGCTTGAGTAAGGCTGATGCACAGCAGTTTCAACCCATTCAAGGTTTTGAAGCACAGATGTACAGGTAATTCAATGGAGCTACACGGCAACCGCGGCCAGACGCCGCACAGTTGCCTCAGTCATCGTGAGAAAAATGTTTGAAGCACAGTGTAAGGCGAAGCTTGGCTTAGCTAGGCGGATGAGACACGAAGCGGCATGGCAAGGCTCTGTCCATGCCGGTGATCATTCAATCAAACGTGTGCCCTCCAACATACCAAGGGGCCTTGTGACCCTTGTTATGTTTGTTGATCATAGTATATTACACAGCCTGATGTCGATGTCCGAGTGTCAAAATACATGGGGCGCTTCAGGCATGTTGCTTCAAAATTATTGTCATGTTCGCCCTCACTCCATGAACACAACGATTTCCCTCATCTCTAGACCTGCCCATGTGCTGCTTGGGATTCTTGAGGCTTTTGTGACTGCATGGCTTTTCCTCGGGCGCCTGGCAAAGGCTAGCCTGGGAAGCCGCTTGAATACAGTATTCCAACTACCTGTTTGAATCCCAACAGCCATGTCAGACAAGCCGAGTGTTTAACGTGGATCATCCAGGACACCTTTCACATCGCACATGACACCAAGCTGACAAACACAAGCTAGTTGGGGAATTTGGAAAATGGGAGGGGGCATGGTGGCGTTTGTTAAGCCTTTTGCTGAAGCGTCCTGTTTGTTTGCAGCACAAGCCATTCTTGGGGGTCTTCAGCCTGGCAGACTTGACATCATGCGCTGGCTACCAGACGGGGGTGATGTAGAGCAGGGACACCCCACTCAAAGAGGGTCCCCCGACGATCAAGGGACTCCCTGCTATGAAATGACTTCTGGATGCAGGTCCTGTTCGGCCAGCGCTGTGGGCAGAGGGCGCATGTCCCTGCCCTTGGCGCAATCGCCACTTGGACCAAAACGTGAGGGCGGTTTGGTCATGATGGGGGTGGGGGTGGGGGGGATGCTTCATTTGCCTGAGGCGTCAGCGATTGAACGGCCCTACTGGCAGCTATGTGCCTTGGACTGGGTTGGAAGAGCTGAAGCCCCACGGAAGTCTGTTGCCATATGTCCACTTTGAACAGGTTATCCAGTTATCCCATTCGCTTGCCAACACTAGCAACGTGGTGCTATGTGTGGTTTCCAGTTTCCCCTGCAATTTGATAACAAAGCTGTTGTCTTGTGCGACTGCCACCACTCCAAAGTCTCCAATGAAATGGTCCACAGCGAAGATATTGCTGCGCGCGCTCTAGCCGAAAGGGCTGCCACCTGCACTAAACACAGAATCGCAGGGCTGCGGTACGCAGTGGAAGTGGCTTTTCATTCTTTGTTTGCATTTTCTGGGTCCTAAGTTCAGGCTTCAATTGATATTGTTTTGCCTGGGGCCTTATTCGTTCTGCTTGGGGCCACTGACCCAGCGAGTTCCGTTCTCCTCACAAACCAAGACAAGTTCAATCCATGGACTTCCCAAAGGTATGCCAAACTGGCGTAAACGGGGTGGCAAACGGACCTGCGAAAGCCTCGAGGTGCCGATGCCCACCGCTCGCAGCCCACCGCGCGGCGGGGGTATGTGGGTTGGCTCGCCGCAGGCGGGGATGGCTGGGATCTCTGTTTGGTCATCGCGTTTGTGTCCGTCTTGGGTATCTTGTCTTGGGCTTCAATCTTCCATATGGGTCAGGGTGATTTCACTGCACTTGGGCAACAGCTGGGCCAGGCTTTGCGAGGGGTAGAAGGGGGATCTGGACAATTCTGGATAGCTTCAAAGGTGGTTTGTCTCTGGGCATTCGGCGAGGCCCAAGCCCAATCAAGAGGGCATGCGCATCAAAAACAAATTATTTCAGGATCAGCAACAACTTTTCAGGATCAACAAACAATTAAATAACGTAAGGCCCAAGCCAGCTAGCAAGTAAACAAGTTGGGAATATCTCGGGGGCAGAGCTAGTTAGCAAGTTAACAAGTTAGCAATCCTTCGGGGGGAGCGCCAGTTAGCAAGCTAACACGTCAGCAATCCTTCGGGGGAAAGGGCCAGTTAGCAAGTTAGCAAGTTAGCAATCCTTCCAGGGCAGGGCCAGTCAGCCAGTTAGCAAAGTCGCGGGAGGGGAAGTGAGCAATCACCACCATCACTACGACGACTACTACTACTACTACTACTACTACTACTACTACTACTACTACTACTACCGCTGCTGCTGCTACTAATGCTACGCCTGCTACCGCTAAAACTACGACTTCGGCTGACACTGCGATTCTTGCTACTACTATACTACTACCACCACTACTACCACCACTACTACTACTTCTCCTGCTACTACTACTACTACTACCACCACTACTACTACTACTACTACTACTACTACTACTACTACTACTACTACTGCAACTGCTATTACTACTAGAACCATCTAGAACCTCTACTACTACTTCTTTTTCTACTTCTGCTACTTCGAGTCTTATTACGACTATTTCAACTAGCACTACTAGGGATAGTAGCGCTGCAAGTTCAACCACTACTACTACTACTACTACGACTACTACTACTACTACTACTACGACTACTACGACTACTACTACTACCACTACCACTACCACTACCACTACCACTACCACTACCACTACCACTACCACTACCACTGCCACTGCCACTGCCACTATCACTACTACTATTACCAGTACTGCTACTACTATGACAACTATCGCTACTAGGGATAGTAGCACTAGTATTCCCACGTCTGCTATTGCTACTACTACTACGACGACTACTACTACTACTAAGAATATTAAGAACAGCAATAGCAATAATTGCCACGACCACTACCATTACGACGACGACGACTATTACTACTACTGTTTTTTCTTGATCCTGAAATATTCTTTTGTTTGATCCCTTAAGTGGCCGATTTCGGATTTTCCGGATTTTGCAAATGCCTGACTGGATAGAGGTCTAAATACGCTTGTGGAGCTACGCCTATTGCGCCAGAGGAAACCGAGCACCAAATTGGCGGGCACCTTGGCGGCAGCCAGGCGTGCCGTCAATCGTTTGAAACTGGCATCAGGCTGCATGATGACTAGATCAGTTTATTGTACCATGTCCTGGCGTTCAATTGTGTGTGATTACGCTTCAAGCAGACCGAGGGGCTGGCTGCACCGTATCTTGCGCACCGGCTGGCCAAGCGATTGCAACGATGGTCCGGTCCAAGGGCAGTCTTTCGAGGGCGCCATGCACAAATCCGCCGTGATGTTTGTCTTCTCGAACTCACGCGAGCTTCAGCTTGGGAGTCTGACCCCATCTTGCCTGTGCGCATCATTCCATTTTTGGCTTCAAGCTGCCAGCGGCAATCCTGGTTCCTGGTGGTCCCTTTTTCTTTATGTGTTGGCTTGCGGCTGTTCACACTTCGAGCCGAGTTGTTTTTATGAATCCCTGTTCAGCATGTTCGGGCAATTCGCGCATCCAAGGGGCTTTGGTTGTTGTTTCTCCCTTTCTACCAGCCACCTGGACATTGAGACCCATGCAACCAACCCATGCATCCATACTGTGGATGAACGAAATCCATTTCGCACCACGCAAAAAACCATTGGAAACCATTGCAGGGGAATCGAATTGTTCCATGGTTCTGTAGGTGGTGCGGGATTGGTCCATCCACAATAGGGGTCCGCTTTGGAGGACGCCAAAGTGACGAGTCCTAGTGATCCTTTGCAGGCGGCGCCAGCACGGGCGTACGCGCCCGTCCCACTTCTAGGCGAGGATTGCCATGGTCGATGTGATTTGAATGTTTGTCAACTCTTGGTTGCAGTCCCTCGTGCCTTGGCCGTTTGGCATCTTGTGGCAGTTTGGCTTTTTGGAATATAGCCCAGGCTTGCACCCTGCAGGCTGACCAACAACTTGAAGTGCTCAGATTGACTGGGAAACGCCGTAGCTCACCCAGAAGCATGTTAGTGATAGTGCAAGAGGGCAACAGCCCCATATATAGAGAGCAAGTTTTTCTCAGCACTGTCAAGCGGACTGGGGGGGACATTAGTGCCAGAAATCGAGATGCTGTGTATATTTGCAACGCAGGCAGCAGCCTCAGATTGAAAAGAACACGTGACCCAAGACAAAGTTTCACATTTGTGTTTGTTTGCAAATTGAATATCAATGTTTCAGCTATGTGTTGCCATGCCTGTTTGTTTCAGGAAAGTACATTCGATATACTTCAGGAGCGCATGCACCCATCTTCCATTGATCCCACCGTCCAGGGCAGCCCATGCAGATGCAGCAGACGCAGCAGACGCAGCAGCCGCAGCAGCCGCAGCAGACGCAGCAGACGCAGCAGATGCAGCAGACGCAGCAGATGCAGCAGATGCAGATGCATCAAACTGCGCAGCCTCAGCCGATACTTGGTTTACTGCAACATTGCAACTGTGTCGCATGGGTTCACTTTGGCTGCAGGGGCTGCATGCGGGCCTCGATGACGTCCGGCTGACCGACACAACACTTATCGTTCAGGATAACAACTTCAATTCAATCCCGTGCAATGTGGCGCGACTTCGCTTCGCCCTAGCCCTAGATGGTTTGGTGCCTAGGCGGCTGATATAAGCTGGCATGAGCAAGACACCATCCACAAGCTGAAGGAAGATGCCATCAAGAACTGACCAATGTTGACAGCCAGTTGTCAGAATATGGCTATGCCTGCTTTGAGACTGTTTAGGCAAGCAACGCCTGCCACCCGCACAATTTCTCGGTGAGAATGGTCATGTTCCCAGACTCGTTGGGAGTTGTCTGATTGGATGACTTCCCCACTTTACCCTTAGTTCACTTGCCATTTGCGCTTTATCCACCTTGCATATTGGCCTCCGCAATTCAGTCGCAGAATGTCTACGCGTGCTGTTTGTGTAATCTGATCCACCGAGGATGCATCACCCAATGCATCTTGCAATGCATCCGATGCATTTGCCCCACTTGCCGCAGCTACCACAGCCGCCGCAGTTTGCTGCCCCTCAGCATGTCGCTTGGATTGTGTTTAGCTAGGTGCTTCAGATTATAGGTAGCCAGTCTATCAACTTAGTTGAGGTAGAGATAGATCGTGTGGTGTTACTTTGCATGTTGTTGCAAGTCGCCTTGTTGCTGTATGAGGCGCTTGGTTCAACACGGGTATGTGGCGTTTGATTGTGAAAGCTGTGGTGGCTGAAATGCCCCAACAGGTCACACACCTTTCGCAGCCACCAAAGTAACAACGGGGCCAGTCTGGCCCGCCTACCCTGCGCGTCTCTGCCCAAGCTGTGCCTTAAAGGGTTTTATGCTGCTTCTAAATGCCGGTCCGGTAGCGGAGTGAAGTCAACACAATCCACCACACCTTCCACGGATTTCGTTGGGGTCAAATGCTTCGCCCTCTCGCTTTATACATTGCTTGTGCCAAATCCAGGCCCTTTCCTTCATGCACACCCACCCACCCAAGCCGTGTCATCCGAACAGCGCCGACCAAAGGAAAATAAAGAAGTCAATTGATTACAAGGTCGAGAACTTCTAAAATAAAATCAGCTTTTGAAGGTAAAGGGCCCGTTATCGGCTGAAGTTGTCCTAGAACTGTGCCAAAGCACACGTTCCTTTAGTTCTTGGAGGTGTGTGCGTTTCACGTTTCATGCCGGACACTTTGTTGCTTTTCCTGCGGGGGGGGGAGGCGGTATGGGGGGTGAGTGAGCATCGCCAGAAGCACTTGTACCAAGCCAAATGATCACACAAACCAGTGCAAGTTAGTTTGCCAGGCTGCAGGGCCTATCATATCCCCAGCCCACGCCTGCCCTGGCAAAAGCTCAGAACTTGCCATTTGCAGATCTCAAACGGCAAAATGGGAACCCACCTGGCTGATTGATACGGGTGGGGACCGCTTTTCTGTTTCACCTGCTGAATTCTTTTGGGGATCCAGGGTCAGCACCACAGCTGTTTGTCTGATTTCGGCGTGCCAAAGGCGCAGGTTCACTGCCCGACTGCCGAGGCGCAGATGGGGTATCACTTCCCGCCGCATCCGCAGAGGTAGTCGCGAGCTTCGCCCTAGTGCCACGTCCGGTGGGACAGGTGGGATGTTGGCCAGACCGTTAAAGGTTGAGATGAATTGATGAAGACCTGACCCTCCCAAGGAATCTAAATGCTTGGTTTCCTTTGGGTTCCATTTAAGAAACGCTGCCCTATTTCATTCTATCAAGAGGGGTGAGAACAAGCCATTTTGCCGGGTCATGCTGGGTTCAGGGCAGTACCGAGCAACATGGATTTCTGTCCTGCCAGCTCAGCTGAAGCATTGGGCGTAGCACTTGAGCTGGGAGAAGTGCCATTTTGCTCAACACGTAAGGCATAGCACATGGATGTTTGCTCGCATTGGATGAGCCGCTGTCGATAGCTGAATGGGATTCATTCCACATCTCAGGGTTGAGCAATAGCCAGGCATACTAGACGGAACGCGGGCTGCGTGTGGCGGTTGTATCAAAGCAAAGCGGCAGGCGTGTTTTGCGCTGCGGCAGCAAGCCGCCAGCAGTAGTACTATGAAGCTTCTTGCATGTATGTACGCAGCTTCGGCCAATGACAAAAGACACCAGAAAAGGCAGGGGCGCAGGGACCGGCACGGATCTTGCAGCAATATGACCGCAGCAGTCCAGCAATGATCCGAACAGCTGCAGGACAAAGTAAAACTCGAGCAGCTCAAAGGACCCCACATGATCAAAGTGTTCTCAACTGGATCCCCATCAACTCAAGAGACTCTTGCTTCAAACAGTTGGACTGCTAGTTGTCTCTGTTTGAATCACTTTGACCTTCCCCACTGTCGCAACGAAACACCACACTTGAACGTGTGTCAAATCAGCCAGTTTCAACGATGTGTGGGCGGTGTCAAGCCACATGCGGATGTATAGTTGGTTCTTGTGCTTAGGTTGTCCATTCGGCAGACGTTTCTTGGCACCGACACACCAGGGTGTTGACAAACAGATGAAACCCACCGCCCCTGGAAAGAGGTTTTCTGATTGGCCTCCGGTAGTACGGGACAAACGCGGTTAGCCCGATGAATCATGAAGCCAGCGGCTATTGAATTGTCAGAAGGGAGGAAGCCGTAGCAACCGATGAGCGGCGATCAAATCGTCATTTGTTTGCGTTTGTTTCGGCAAATTCATGGGAACCACTAGCGTGCAAGCCCGCAAAATTTCCCTGAGTGGACGCCATGCTAAGCTTGGGCCAGCAGGGAAGCTGAGGCAGCGAAGCTGCGCCCTAGAGTTTAATTTCAGGTTGCGAAAGGGTTCGCCCTTGGAGTGGCCGCTGAAGGAAGTTTGTGGACTACCCTCCATTTTGAGCAGCCCAGTTTGAGGAAGCTGTTTGTCTGCCACACGCCTGACATGGCTCAATTGTCTTTGCACTATCAACCCTTCCAGTTTCAATTATGCGCCACTTGTTTTGTGCAGTCACGCAGATTCCATGAGGCAGGAAAGATGTGCAGCTTAGTCCATGAGAGGAAAGAAGCTTATGTGATTCTTCTGGAGTAGCTGGAGGCTGCATTGGGAACGTTCAGTTTAACGAACTGCCCCTCCTTCATATAGAGTGGCATTCACGACTCTTGTTCAAAATCGCCCCGCCTGTGGGCCATCCATTGCCCCATGGCGGATGACGCATGGCAAGGCCGGTCAACGGTCCAAGAGTTTGATGGCCCTGGGCCAGGGGTTGGGTCTTTCCGGTCAGAATTTGCACAAGGCAAACCATGGGTTCGGCTCACGGTGCATGACGCAATGGTGGACTTGATTTTGCTAGCCTGGTCTTTCTTTTTCGGGCAGTTTCTTGTTTTGCCCAGATCTGGGAGGTTCAAGTGTGGTTGATTAGCCTTGGCAGCAGCAGTTCCTGCTGACTTATATACTCCCGTCGATCTGTAGCCTTTGCGTATTCCGGGGTAAAAAGAGCAGCCTGATTTGTTTCTACCCGACCCATGCTGTGAATGAACATGCTTTCGGCATCCTAGAGACATTTTGACATTCGTGTTTGTTTTGTATGTTGGTCCTATGAGCCAGCCGCGTCTTGTCAAAACGTCCACTGTGCTCAGCAACAAGTTGTTCAGGCCATGGGGCTGCCAGCAAAATGTTGTTAAGCAAGGGCAGCTATTGAAAAGCTGAGCGCCGTCTGATTGAAGTCGGCGTCGGTTGCTGGCGCCATGTGATTGTGGGTCAAAAATAGGCATCCAAAATGGAGCCCTGGTAAATGTAAACATGGCCTAAAGCCTGCGGTCTTCAGGATGTATGTCCATTCGGCACGGCTTGCTTGCCTTGAGGTTAGCATGTATCCTCATATGATCCCACCTTGCAGCCTTCCACCTGGGATTCCAAAGGGGCAGTCATGGAGCAATCCACTTGCCCGAAGCAAACCTTTCTAGCATACTTCTGAACTATGTTCCATACTTTTGACCCGGTCCTGCTTGCAGAACATGCTCAGCCTTTTGCAACTTGGCTGACTAGTCAGGCAGACTAGACCACCACGACGTAAGTGAGACGGAAGGATAGCCATAGCCAGATGGCTGGGATCTGGCAGCGGCAAACGAGGGGAGCTTCAGCCCATGATTAAGAAGATAGCTACAGTTCAACTCCTAGTTGCCGATCGAGGTCGATGTGCAGCACCCTACGTCCAAAGGTTGTCAACCTGCACTTATTCTGCCAAATTGGTGGCTTGATGTGTCTCGTGACCTGATGCTCGTTCCTCCGACCGTTGCCCAGCCCAAAGCGCGGCGCAGGGACGGGGCAGCGGCGCAGGTGGTTGCCGCAGTTGCGGCCAGCCCCAGCTGGGGCCGCGCGGCCGCTGCCTTGCGAGAGGCGCCTGCAGAGGAGTATGAGAGTTGGCGTGTGGAAAGTTGGTATGTTTTGATTGTGCTGTTGCAGTGCATGTTTTACACTTGATATGGGAATTTGGCTCGGCTTTGTTTGATTATGTTTGTGATGCTTTCTGATTGGACCTTGTAGTCTTTGAGCACATATGTGTATTTCCACTAGCCAACAACAAACAGGTCAATCTTGTTGAGGCAAGAACTGCTGAAGCAAGGACGGGTGTTTCTTATGACAGAATCTGCTTTGCAATTCGTTGCCTTTTACCAAGCCAAAATTCGCTTCGAAACCCACTGGGATGCCCGTTTTAGTCTCAACTGACAATGCTACAGCCCAAATGATTGAATGCATGTGAGTGTGTCGGTGTGTGCTTTGGGTGGAGCATTTGTTCTTGGAACTTACGCGCAGGAATCCCGACATTGGGGGATTTCATCCATGCATCTTGTTTGGTGTGCGCACCTGCGGGGTCACAAACTTGTTGCTTAATGGGCGCAAGACATCCTCTGCAGGCGGCGCCAGCGCGGGCGTACGTGCCCGTCCCACTTCTAGGCGAGGATTGCCATGGTCGATGTGATTTGAATGTTTGTCAACTCTTGGTTGCAGTCCCTCGTGCCTTGGCCGTTTGGCATCTTGTGGCAGCTTGGCTTGTTGGAATATAGCCCAGGTTTGCACCCTGCAGGCTGACCAACAACTTGAAGTGCTCAGATTGACTGGGAAACGCCATTGCTCACCCAGAATCATGTTAGTGATAGTGCAAGAGGGCAACAGCCCCATATATAGAGAGTAAGGTTTTCTCAACACTGTCAAGCGGACTGGGGGGGACATTAGTGCCAGAAATCGAGATGCTGTGTATATTTGCAACGCAGGCAGCAGCCTCAGATTGAAAAGAACACGTGATCCAAGACAAAGTTTCGCATTTGTGTTTGTTTGCAAATTGAATATCAATGTTTCAGCTATGTGTTGCCATGCCTGTTTGTTTCAGGAAAGTACATTCGATGTACTTCAGGAGCGCATGCACCCGTCTTCCATTGATCCCACCGTCCAGGGCAGCCCATGCAGATGCAGCAGACGCAGCAGACGCAGCAGACGCAGCAGCCGCAGCAGACGCAGCAGACGCAGCAGATGCAGCAGACGCAGCAGATGCAGCAGATGCAGCAGATGCAGCAGATGCAGCAGATGCAGATGCATCAAACTGCGCAGCCTCAGCCGATACTTGGTTTACTGCAACATTGCAACTGTGTCGCATGGGTTCACTTTGGCTGCAGGGGCTGCATTCGGGCCTTGATGACGTCCGGCTGACCGACACATCCCGTGCAATTTGGTGCGACTTCGCTTCGCCCTAGCCCTAGATGGTTTGGTGCCTAGGCGGCTGATATACGCTGGCATGAGCAAGACACCATCCACAAGCTGAAGGAAGATGCCATCAAGAACTGACCAATGTTGACAGCCAGTTGTCAGAATATGGCTATGCCTGCTTTGAGACTGTTTAGGCAAGCAACGCCTGCCACCCGCACAATTTCTCGGTGAGAATGGTCATGTTCCCAGACTCGTTGGGAGTTGTCTGATTGGATGACTTCCCCACTTCACCCTTAGTTCACTTGCCATTTGCGCTTTATTCACCTTGCATATTGGTCTCCGCAATTCAGTCGCAGAATGTCTACCCGTGCTGTTTGTGTAATCTGATCCACCGAGGATGCATCACCCAATGCATCTTGCAATGCATCCGATGCATTTGCCCCACTTGCCGCAGCTACCACAGCCGCCGCAGTTTGCTGCCCCTCAGCATGTCGCTTGGATTGTGTTTAGCTAGGTGCTTCAGATTATAGGTAGCCAGTCTATCAACTTAGTTGAGGTAGAGATAGATCGTGTGGTGTTACTTTGCATGTTGTTGCAAGTCGCCTTGTTGCTGTATGAGGCGCTTGGTCCAACACGGGTATGTGGCGTTTGATTGTGAAAGCTGTGGTGGCTGAAATGCCCCAACAGGTCACACACCTTTCGCAGCCACCAAAGTAACAACGGGGCCAGTCTGGCCCGCCCTACCCTGCGCGTCTCTGCCCAAGCTGTGCCTTAAAGGGTTTTATGCTGCTTCTAAATGCCGGTCCGGTAGCGGAGTGAAGTCAACACAATCCACCACACCTTCCACGGATTTCCACGGAATGGGGATGCCTCGGCCAAAGCTCGCAGTTCTAGGACAACTTCAGCCGATAACGGGCCCTTTACCTTCAAAAGCTGATTTTCTTTTAGAAGTTATCGACCTTATAATCAATTGACTTCTTTATTTTCCTTTGGTCGGCGCTGTTCGGATGACACGGCTTGGGTGGGTGGGTGGGTGTGCATGAAGGAAAGGGCCTGGATTTGGCACAAGCAATGTATAAAGCGAGAGGGCGAAGCATTTGACCCCAACAAGGGCTGCCAAAGCACACGTTCCTTTAGTTCTTGGAGGTGTGTGCGTTTCACGTTTCATGCCGGACACTTTGTTGCTTTTCCTGCGGGGGGGGGGGTATGGGGGGTGAGTGAGCATCGCCAGAAGCACTTGTACCAAGCCAGGGCCTATCATATCCCCAGCCCAAGCCTGCCCTGGCAAAAGCTCAGAACTTGCAATTTTCAGATCTCAAACGGCAAAATGGGAACCCACCTGGCTGATTGATACGGGTGGGGACCGCTTTTCTGTTTCACCTGCTGAATTCTTTTGGAGATCCAGGGTCAGCACCACAGCTGTTTGTCTGATTTCGGCGTGCCAAAGGCGCAGGTTCACTGCCCGACTGCCGAGGCGCAGATGGGGTATCACTTCCCGCCGCATCCGCAGAGGTAGTCGCGAGCTTCGCCCTAGTGCCACGTCCGGTGGGACAGGTGGGATGTTGGCCAGACCGTTAAAGGTTGAGATGAATTGATGAAGACCTGACCCTCCCAAGGAATCTAAATGCTTGGTTTCCTTTGGGTTCCATTTAAGAAACGCTGCCCTATTTCATTCTATCAAGAGGGGTGAGAACAAGCCATTTTGCCGGGTCATGCTGGGTTCAGGGCAGTACCGAGCAACATGGATTTCTGTCCTGCCAGCTCAGCTGAAGCATTGGGCGTAGCACTTGAGCTGGGAGAAGTGCCATTTTGCTCAACACGTAAGGCATAGCACATGGATGTTTGCTCGCATTGGATGAGCCGCTGTCGATAGCTGAAGGGGATTCATTCCACATCTCAGGGTTGAGCAATAGCCAGGCATACTAGACGGAACGCGGGCTGCGTGTGGCGGTTGTATCAAAGCAAAGCGGCAGGCGTGGTTTGCGCTGCGGCAGCAAGCCGCCAGCAGTAGTACTATGAAGCTTCTTGCATGTATGTACGCAGCTTCGGCCAATGACAAAAGACACCAGAAAAGGCAGGGGCGCAGGGACTGGCACGGATCTTGCAGCAATATGACCGCAGCAGTCCAGCAATTGTCTGAACAGCTGCAGGACAAAGCAAAGCTCGAGCAGCTCAAAGGACCCCACATGATCAAAGTGTTCTCAACTAGATCCCCATCAACTCAAGAGACCTCTTGCTTCAAACAGTTGGACCGCTAGTTGTCTCTGTTTGAATCACTTTGACCTTCCCCACTGTCGCAACGAAACACCACACTTGAACGTGTGTCAAATCAGCCAGTTTCAACGATGTGTGGGCGGTGTCAAGCCACATGCGGATGTATAGTTGGATCTTGTGCTTAGGTTGTCCATTCGGCAGACGTTTCTTGGCACTGACACACAGGGTGCTGACAAACAGATGAAACCCACTGCCCCTGGAAAGAGGTTTTCTGATTGGCCTCCGGTAGTACGGGACAAACGCGGTTAGCCCGATGAATCATGAAGCCAGCGGCTATTGAATTGTCAGAAGGGAGGAAGCCGTAGCAACCGATCAGCGGCGATCAAATCGTCATTTGTTTGCGTTTGTTTCGGCAAATTCATGGGAACCACTAGCGTGCAAGCCCGCAAAGAATGCCTGAGTGGACGCCATGCTAAGCTTGGGCCAGCAGGCAGCGAAGCTGCGCCCTAGAGTTTAATTTCAGGTTGCAAAAGGGTACGCCCTTGGAGTGGCCGCTGAAGGAAATTTGTGGACTACCCTCCATTTTGAGCAGCCCAGTTTGAGGAAGCTGTTTGTCTGCCACACGCCTGACATGGCTCAATTGTCTTTGCACTATCAACCCTTCCAGTTTCAATTATGCGCCACTTGGTTTGTGCAGTCACGCAGGTTCCATGAGGCGGGAAAGATGTGCAGCTTAGTCCATGAGAGGAAAGAAACTTATGTGATTCTTCTGGAGTAGCTGGAGGCTGCATTGGGAACGTTCAGTTTAACGAACTGCCCCTCCTTCATATAGAGTGGCATTCACGACTCTTGTTCAAAATCGCCCCGCCTGTGGGCCATCCATTGCCCCATGGCGGATGACGCATGGCAAGGCCGGTCAACGGTCCAAGAGTTTGATGGCCCTGGGCCAGGGGTTGGGTCTTTCGGTCAGAATTTGCACAAGGCAAACCATGGGCTCGGCTCACGGTGCATGACGCAATGGTGGACTTGATTTTGCTAGCCTGGTCTTTCTTTTTCGGGCAGTTTCTTGTTTTGCCCAGATCTGGGAGGTTCAAGTGTGGTTGATTTGCCTTGGCAGCAGCAGTTCCTGCTGACATGCTTGGCTTATATACTCCCGTCGAGCTGTAGGCTTTTGCGTATTCCGGGGTAAAAAGAGCAGCCTGATTTGTGTCTACCTGACCCAAGCTGTGAATGAACATGCTTTCGGCATCCTAGAGACATTTTGACATTCGTGTTTGTTTTGTATGTTGGTCCTATGAACCAGCCGCGTCTTGTCAACACATCCACTGTGCTCAGCAACAAGTTGTTCAGGCCATGGGGCTGCCAGCAAAATGTTGTTAAGCAAGGGCAGCTATTGAAAAGCTGAGCGCCGTCTGATTGAAGTCGGCGTCGGTTGCTGGCGCCATGTGATTGTGGGTCAAAATTAAGCATCCTGAAGACCGCAGGCTTTAGGCCATGTTTACATTTACCAGGGCTCCATTTTGGATGCCTATTTTTGACCCACAGCCATGTGGATATTCGGTGCAGGCACTTCCGCAGCCCCACGAAATTTGATAATTTGGAAGTCAAGCTTTGTCCATTCGGCACGGCTTGCTTGCCTTGAGGTTAGCATGTATCCTCATATGATCCCACCTTGCAGCCTTCCACCTGGGATTCCAAAGGGGCAGTCCTGGAGCAATCCACTTGCCCGAAGCAAACCTTTCTAGCATACTCCTGAACTATGTTCCATACTTTTGACCCGGTCCTGCTTGCAGAACATGCTCAGCCTTTTGCAACTTGGCTGACTAGTCAACGTAAGTGAGACGGAAGGATAGCCATAGCCAGATGGCTGGGATCTGGCAGCCGCAAACGAGGGGAGCTTCGGCCCATGATTAAGAAAGAAGATAGCTACAGTTCAACTCCTAGTTGCCGATCGAGGTCGATGTGCAGCACCCTACGTCCAAAGGTTGTCAACCTGCACTTATTCTGCCAAATTGGTGGCTTGATGTGTCTCGTGACCTGATGCTCGTTCCTCCGACCGTTGCCCAGCCCAAAGCGCGGCGCAGGGACGGGGCAGCGGCGCAGGTGGTTGCCGCAGTTGCGGCCAGCCCCAGCTGGGGCCGCGCGGCCGCTGCTTTGCGAGAGGCGCCTGCAGAGGAGTATGAGAGTTGGCGTGTGGAAAGTTGGTATGTGTTGATTGTGCTGTTGTAGTGCATGTTTCACAGTTGATATGGGAATTTGGCTTGACTTTGTTTGATTATGTTTGTGATGCTTTCTGATTGGACGTTGTAGTCTTTGAGCACATGTGTGTATTTCCACTAGCCAACAACAAACAGGTCAATCTTGTTGAGGCAAGAACTGCTGAAGCAAGGATGGGTGTTTCTTATGACAGAGTCTGCTTTGCAATTTGTTTCCTTTTACCAAGCCAACATGGGCTTCGAAACCCACTGGGATGCACGTTTTAGTCTCAACTGATAATCCCACAGGCCAAATGATTGAATGCATGTGGGTGTGTCGGTGTGTGCTTTGGGTGGAGCATTTGTTCTTGGAACTTACGGGCAGGAATCCCGACATTGGGGAATTTGATCCATGCATCTAGGATGTTGTGCGCACCTGCGGGGTCACAAACTTGTTGCTTAATGGGCGCAAGACACGAGACCGGACGCCGCTTCTACGTTGCACCCAGGCAATCCGGGACAGCCCCTTCAAAACATTTGTCCGTGTCTTGAAGGTTTCGGGCTTGTCACGGAGTAGTTGGACCACGGCTCACAGATGGCCATAGGTCAAAATGCAATAGTTTAGTCAATGCCCATATCTTCACGCCCAAAACATCGGAGCGCGCATACGCACAGTGGCATACACACACACACCTGCAATGATACAGCACCTCCTCACCTTGCGGCCATGGCTAGCATGCCAGTCAAACCGCAGTCGGCTGTCCCTCTGGTGTCTTCTTGTAGGTACCGCGATCGGGGGCAGTTCTTGAAGGAGCTAACAATAAGTGGCGTCACCCGCAAAGCTCAGCTCAGCAAGCGCACAGAGTTTTCCGCACTTCTGTCCAGCAGGACAGTAGTATGTGTTTTCCGCTGCAAACGACATGCCTTTGAGAACCCGACAGCCACGAAGCTACGAGCAACGAAAGCGCAAAGGACCGAACCATGCCTTGAATTCCTTGAAAACCTTACCGGCATATATATATATATATATATATGAGGCCTGGACCTAGTGTGATCTCGAACAAAGTAACAGTTCCAGTGTGATGCCAGATTTTGTTCAACCTGCTACACAGAAACACACATTCCAGCATTGAAATGAGATGACACGTTCCCCATGTACTTAACATGCTCCAACAAGTCAAGAAGACGCGGTCCACAAATCCCAGGGAGATTAATTCATTGAGCAGGTAATCAAGGCAAGCCAAATGCCAGCATCCTGATGCATCCGATGCAGGCGCAGGTTGGCTGCCTGGAGCCAGACGCGGCGGCCTTCAACGCCCTGGCCACTCGGGCGCGCACCTGGCAGCTGGCGCTGCCCGGCAGGATACTGCAGGGGTGGGTGCGGGGGGAGGGATCCTCGGAATCGGAACGCCTCAGGGCTACCCCAAGCTGCTGGGAAAAGGGAGGTTGTTGTTTTTTTTCCCACTGGGCCAGCGAAGTTTATATATGTCCATCATGCGGAATGCGCATCGAGTTGCCAGTTTGCCGCATCCTCCACCATGTTGGCGCAACAGGAACCCCAATATGCAGTTGGTGTCGGGGACACCCGCAAATAAAGTGGAAAGTCCGAGTAAAAACATCTGGGAAGTCTGTTGAAGTCGGTTGAATCAACACATTAAAGCTGCGGTAGCAAAGCCTGCAAATTGGGCGGCTTCAGTGCTCGAGGTGTTTTTTTGACGTGCGTTTGGCTTTGATTTGTGTGTGTGTGTGTGTGCGTGCGTGCACACTTTCTTGTTGGTGCGCGTGGTGGGGTGAATCCAAAATTAAATTGTTGCCGAAAGGATAGGTGAACACAGGGATAAGTTGACTTCCCGGGCATACGAGTAGGTGCACAGAAAAACAAGGAAAGACTGTCAAGGAGGCTTGAAGCTGCTTGCGCGCATAGGAGCTGGTCCCGCTTAGGCAATGCGAGCTGTCACAGAGGCATGGGCAACTTAGAGAGGATGAGAGTCACATCAAGCTGGCACGTTCCAACCCGAAGGTCACATTGGCGGAAAACAGTTGCCAGCTCGTGGTCTTTCCTTTCAAAATTGTCAAAGTAAATCAGTGATCTACCTCAGGCCAAACCTCAAGGACACACTGCGGATGCGTTTTTGCTATGCTCCCTTTCTTCAGGAAAGCGCCCCCTCCTCTATGCCCCGCTTGTACTTGGTGACAAAAATGACGGAGGGCGACCCCCAGTGCGACTCAAATTCTTTGCCGCGTGGGGTTGAGCCAGGTCAAACAAGTCACCATCAAAGTGAGGTTGGCTCCGAATGTCGGCCTTGGACTAGAAACTTGAACTCTTGTTTTCCTTGGCAAAAGTTTAAATCGTGGGCCGGAGCATTTTAGTCACAAGTTTGTTGGGGTTGGACTGACTGCACCTTTCCCTGGAACAAAAAGAAGCTCGTCCAGGCAGGCAGTGCAGGGTTGTCAGGAATAGGTATTCATTGAGGTTAGTGTGGTTGAAACTCGGTAGCGCCGCTTTTCAGTGTGGTTCCTTGAATTTTCCATACGGGCTTGAACAGTTTCCGGCTGTTATAGGGACTGGTGCCATTTGGAGTGTGTATCCAACGGCAAGTCCAAGGGAACCTCCTCCCCCCCATTTTTCGGGGACCGAGTCTGTTTGCAAACGTGACTTCAGGTTCCATCACTTCGCCTGGGCCCGGCTCGCGGGCCTGCGCCTCAGCCGCCGGTCTTTGCGCTCCGCCTGCGCCTCCGGCGCTGGATGGCGACACACGCTGGACTCCGTGCCGGGATCAGCAGGCAGTTTTTCCCCGATCAAAGCTAATGCGAAGCGACTCGGAGGGCAAATGATAGCAGGGCATACCGGTTTTGTTCAACACCCGCGCGCATCTCAAACGCAAACGAGCGCATGACATCGCATGACCAGCAAATTGCTTGGTTTGCTGGTGGATCATGCTCGATTGTGGTGTTTCCCCGATTTCCCCGGAGCGTCCTGCATCATTCAGGAATCCTGGCTTGGATGCCTGAGGCCGAGGGAATCTGGAAGAGGAGATCCAGATGTTATATTGCAACCCTTCACCAAGCAAAGCATTCCTGTGATACGTTCTCCTGCTCACAAGTGTCAGGTAGCCAGTAGCTGTCGCAATGCAGGGATGGGTTCGGACGCCCTGATACAGATTGGATGCGGTGATTCATGACCATTATATCGCACTACTTATCCCGGTTTCTTAGGTCATTCGAGCTGTTCAGCGGATTGATAGCAACACATTGGAGGTGTCCCAGAATTGGGCACCCCTCTAACCTTTGAACGCACGGGGCAATCTCTTGTCTTGGCTGTTTGCGAGTGAAAACCAATGGGAAGCCAGAGATCAACCAAGCTTCTCATGGCCAAACCTCTTGGGGCAGCCGCCCACTTTGCAGGAGCTTTTACGCCTCAACGGGCCGCTGCTCAGCATGGCGGCAGTCAGCTCGGCCGCGCATGCGGCCAAGGCGAGATGGCAGCCCGGCAGAGGCGGTCGGGCTCTTCTGGGCGCGGCTGTAGCCAGGCACCAGTTGGTAGGCGGTTTGTCCCAATTTCTGTAGGGCTTCATCCATTTGGTGCAGGATTTTGTCCATTCACTTTATCCAACAATCATGGAAAGGGACAGGGGTTCTCAAACGGAGTGACTGGTTTTGCACCCCGCGCTCCGTCAGCTTGGGTTTGCATCGTACATGGGTATGACACCCACTGCTTGGATGTTTGACCGACTTAGTGGTTAGTAACCCTCCCAACATGTGGATTTACGAGCTGGTTTGTTTAGCGGTTTTTAACTCAGCCACCAAGCCAAGTGGATAATTTGTTCCAATCGAATATTCAGCTTGGCTGATATGTTCAGTATTTGTCCAAGCGTGTGAAACACATTCTGGTATTGAGGGCTTGCAGGTTATTGACCGACACTGACGCTGGCCCAATGACCAATAGAAGCTGAATATCAGAGCAAGTCTGCTGGTGAATCGCAGTTGGGAGGTACAACTGGGCCCCGTGTGTTCGATGTGTGTTCTTTGTTTTCCTTGTGTCATCACTGGTGTACTCCCAAACGTGCAGGCAACCCAGGTAAGGCTTGTGTGCCTTTCTCCGAGATGCTTTCCAAGGTCCCCTGATCGGGCACCCGCACGAACTTGTGTTTGCTTCATGGGTAAAAGTATCCGTCCTGCATATACCTGCGTAAACCTGCATAGCATCGGTGAACCTCATAGGGTTGCTTGGCCACCTTTATTTGCCTACCAAGGGGGTTACAAAGCCTATGAATGGGGTTTACTGGATTGAGACCTTGAGAAGGAAACAGAGGCGGCCAAGCACCCTTCAACGAGCAGACGCCCATTGGTAGTTGCCGACATCCACTGAGGATTCATGCGGTGCACCTTTGGGGCTTCATGCGCATGGCCCGGTTGGAGCCCAGCGTGGTGACATGCCGCTCAGCTCCAAGGCATGAAGGGTCGGAGGGGAACGGCTCATGCCATTTCAGCAGAATGTTTGATTTTGCAGGACTGGGGAGTTTTGGAAGCGGCAACAGGAGACGCCAGGGGTTAGGCTTTATTTTGTCGATTTGATTCAATAATCAATTTGCTGGGCCATTGTCACGCATTGCCACCTTCCGAACAGGCTTGAACAGTGAGCGCCATGAAAGGTAGTCTTGGGCTGGCTTTGCTGGTTTGGTTTTGGCCCGGTTGTGCGGGGGTATTTCCTCTTGAGCCTTTGCAGTTTGGCCGCTAGAGAGAATGAAGCACAGTGGAGGCCCGCATCAAGTTTACTGCCACCTGACCCCCTTCAGCCGCTTAACGACTTGTGCACTTGTGAATGCCAAAGCGACTCCCACGTTTGAATGGGGGGGGATGGTTTGCTGACTGAGCTGGACGAATGGTAACACACACACACACACTTGCCTTTCGCTTTTCGCGAGGCATGTGGGAAGCCCTTGACCCCAAGGCAGACCTTTGTACCCATCACAGCGCAGCGAAAGCACTCGATCCCTTCGTTTGTTCACGCCCAAGAAGCAATTGTTTTTTTGCGCTGGCTCGAGCTGCGCGCCCCAACCTCGGGCAAGGTAATACTCTGGCCAACGCAGTCTCGACGTCGTGGCAGCTGTGTCTCGAGGCAGCCGTGGGGTTGCGACAGAGGAAACAGTTGCCACGGGCAAGTGTAAATCAAGTGGCTTCTATATGGATGACTGGCCTTCGCAGTAAACTAGTCCACATGCAGCAAGTTTGCAAGCCATCGACTGAGCTTAAATTATTTGAATCAGTGCCAGCTCTGGACATCCCTTTAATGTCTGCTCTAGGCACTTCAAGCCCGGTGAGTAGATAGAGTTGAACTTGAAGCCTGTAGCAGGCTGTGGCCCAACCGACAGACGTCAGATGTAGCATGGTTCTAAGGGTTTTTCTACATACCCCGAAATCACATACCCAAAAAATGTTGACTATAGAGTGGTTATATAGGGGTTATACAATGTTGCAAAGGCGGCGTGCCCCATTTTCACTTGCACCTGCTTTTCTTGGCACCGGATTTCCCTTTTCCACCCACCGAAGCCCCTGAGCCCCAAAACTCTCCCGAAATCACCCGGCATCCCTCCCCCGAATTCCCCGCCAACCCCACCCCAATGACCAAAAAGCTACCAAGACCCACAACCCCCCCGCATACCCCAAAAAAGGAGCCCCAGAACAAAGGACGCACCCAAAACCAACTATTTTGGGGTATGTACTTTTTTCCCCACGGTATGCTGTGTTTTCCCGGCCCGGGAGAAATTGAAGAAATTTGGGGTATGTACTCTGCGGCCCCGGTGGGCTGTTGTCCAGGGTTCCTCAGCACTGGTCTCAAAATACGAAATCTGGGGCATCACCTGGGCGTTGTTCTGCCCACACTGCTTTCGCCATCCCGGGGCTGAACACAAACCATCCGAGTAGCGCCTGGCATAGGCTAACAGTGAAAGTGGCAAGCACACATCCCTACCCCGAGAAGGTGTTTCCATTATTTTGGGGTATGTACTTTTGGGGTATGTACTTTTACTCTTAGAATGGTGAATGCATACGGCCAGAGCAGGTCTTATTCGCAGGCCTTGACATGTTTACCTGTGAGTGAAGTTCGCGGCATGTCCGACATTCAGGCAGGACGCCGAACCTGAAGTCTGGCTGGGCCAGAAGCCAGAAAAAGTTCCAAGTCTGTGTGTTTTCGAGGGAAGCGGGTTGAGTGATCGCATCTGAAGACAACGTCCCCGTGAGTAACGGGATGCACAGGTGTTGCGCCTGTCAAAGGACGCTCGCTTGGGCCACCTGGCTGGAAGAAACTCCCTGAAGCCGACAAGAAGATGCCGTTACTGGCGTTTATAAAGATATGCAGGTATAGGTAGGTAGGTAGGTATGCATGTATATCTATAAGTATGGCTATATCTGTATCTGCATTTGTAGATATATCTCAGCCTTGCAGGTTGGAAACAGCATGTTGCAGCGTTTTGATTGAGCGACGCGGTGGGTTCCATCATGTGATGTCAGGCAATCTTGGAATTCCATTGTATTGATTGGCTTTCGTACGCAGCTGCCATGAGCACCCAGGAAGCAATCCAGCAGGGATCGGAACTCGGGGGTTGGAGGCAAGGCCACCCGAACCCATGTTAAAACTGTCAACACACCCTTTGTATTTGTCGAATTAGGTTTGCTTGTGCTTCTCCATGGGTAATGCCCATGTTTGTTGGCAAAGAAGACTTGGACACACTTGAAGTTTGGGGTTCACTTGTGCATGGCTTCTCGCCTCTAGAAGCACCTGCACCCACCATCTTTTGGTGGCTCTTGAGAGGCGCCGTTTTCTTGCAGTGTTTCGGCCACATTTGGCTCAGCCGGCATTTTGATGTGGGACCACATGGCCCAAGTCCACTGGGCTGAATAACTTCTCTCGGAGTTCTTTGTGTCTCGGACCCGAGGTCCAGACCTGGCCACCTACAGCTGCGGCATCTCCGCCTGTCGCTGGGCCCGAGGCCTTCACCTGGCCTCTGCTGCCGCGAGGCAAAGTCTCCAAGCCAACGCCACTTGGGGCAAGGCCGAAAAAAAGGCGGATATTGAGTGTGTTGAGTTTTTGTTTTTTGTTTGCCTGTGTTTGGCTGTGGCTTTTTGGGTGTGTCAGGGTGACATGGGCTGAACTGAGATGTGCGGGCTCGGTTTGACGAACTGGCGGCAGGTTTGCAAAGGCCCCTGCCGCGTTGGAGCATCCCACTTGTGGCATGTCGCGTGCCAAGGCCTACATCTATGGATCTTTGTTGGACTCCTGCGCTCTCGATGCTCAGTGGGAGCTTGCCATCGGTCTTGTGCGCAGGCAGCATCATGTCTTCAGTGGGAACTTGGCAAAAGATGTGCAATAACAAGCGCCGCAGAGAATAGTAAACCAGTCAGATCTCATTGTTTTGTTGTTGGCCTTGGAATGCCGGCAGGAGGATGTCATCAAGAAAAGGGCTTGCCCAGTGTTTCACCTGACTGAACATGACTTATACGGGTACACTTTTGTTCATAGTGGAATAGCATATGCATAGAAAGATGCCATATGAATACCACTTCTCTTAACTCGTCCATATGAGCCCCGATCGTTCCTGAGCCCCGATCGTTCCTGAGCATGAAAGCGTACGGCCCTGCAATTCAGTGTAATGCCTAGTCTTGAGTCTACAAAAACACGGTTGAGGCGCAATTGCTGAAATCGCAAATGACAAATCATAACAAAGACGAATACCAGAGTTTAGCCAAATTCACAAACGTATGTGTGCAATTCAGTCCAACGTGGAGCCGCCGGCACATCAGAAGCAAGGAAAGTTGGCAGTAGCATGCGGAGAAACTTTTGGGTGCAGTCTATTCCGCAACTGACAAATGCGAGGCCAAGAGGAAGTTTGAATGCACTGGAACCCCAAGCCACAAACCTGACATGACAAGAGCAAGCAAGCAGGCAAACAAGCAAGCAAGCGACCCAAACTTGTAGGGGATCGAAATAGGCAGAAAAAGTGTTTGTGGCTGAAGTTGTACAACATCTGTGGCACACGCATGTTTCCAGGGTGCCCCTCCATGTCAAGCCCATGGTTCTGAAAGCCTTCGGCTTTAGCGGATTTTTCCACAGGGGAATCCACAGTTGTGGCCGAGCAGCCTTGCCGTCCAATCTATTGTAAAGATCGTATGGCTCCAAATGAATGAATGACCAGCTTGCTTCATGTTTCTGCATCTATCCGCAAGCCCTTTGACCGCGGTGTCAGGCAGTCCAATCCAACGGAGGCAAACAGCGCACTGAGCGCATTGGAGAAGGGCGCCCGCTGGCAGCGGACTTTGGCACTTCTGAAGGCCGGCGGATGGGCTTATTTGCTTCTATGGCTGACTGGGGGAACTGCAACTTTGAAACAGGACTTTTACACCGTGGGGCCCCTTATTGTCCCCTGAGAAAAGCCCGGCTTGCCGACATGCTTTAGGTCGCTGAACAAAAACATGTCTAGTTTACAGGTGTCATACAATGGCCGCTTGGTTAGAACTGACGCGCTGATTCATGCTTCTGCTGGCCTAGCCGAAGTTGAGGTGCAGCTTGCGCAGAACAATGTGCGGGGAATGCGGCCCAGCTTGTTCATGCCCATCTTAGCGCCAGGTGCTGGCGCACTGGTCCGTGGAAATCGACTGCATTGCCTGCAACGTCGCCATCATGTCCTGCCGGCAGATGAGGAAATGGAGAGAGGCATTCAGCTTCCTGTACGCACCAAGTTCCGAAGCTGCCTTCGGCCGAACTTTGCGTGCTGCGATTCACAGGACCGCTTTGGAAAACTTGGTTTCCATTTACGGAGGCCTTCTGGAAGCTTCCATCTCAGTCTGAGGGAGTGTACAAGCATAGTGAGGCTGTCTTTATGAAGATGCCCAGAAGTGGCTACGGATTTTCACGAGAATATTTAAAAACTGGTTGGCGGACATGAAGTCCCGTGTAGACAATAATCAAAAAGTCCCCAAGTAGAGTTCATAACCCCAAAATATTTGGCTGGTTGTTGGCTTACGAGGCTGCGGCGAACATGCAGAGTGATGCCACCATATCTCCAAGGCTTGCGCAGCCTTTTCTGCTTGCCGGGTCCAACAAGCACGACAGTACGTAAGACCAAACGCTTTGCATGCCGAGCTTCTGATTACTATGCCAGCTTAGTTTCGGCTCTTGGCTTGTGTTAGCCTTAGGTACCTTGAAGACCACTGTGATGACTGCCATCGAGCCCACTGTGGTCACCATGAATAGCTTGCTGAGCGCCTGCGACGCCTGTCAGTTCGGAGCTGGTGTTTGTCCCTCTTGATTTGTCACGACAAAGCCAAGAGGGGATGTTGCTGTTTACCCGGCTTGGTGTAAGTTAGAGTCCAGGCATTTGGCCAGCCCTCGGTGCCTAAAAACTCGACCAGGGCCATGGTCACAAAAACTGTCTTGCATTCTTGCATGGTTATCTTGTATAGCCACTGAGCACAATCCATGCCCAGAGCATGGGCCCTTCCTCATCGATCAAGAGCTTTGACCTCAGAAGGTCTACCGGGCCCACGGGCTACTGGATGACAGAAATCATCGGGTTTGCGGTCTGCTGGACTTTTTGCGTCGTCTTGGGTGCTGCTCCGGCCAAGGGTGTCCATCTCGCTTGGGAGCTTGGTCTGTTCGCCTTTAAGCCTCAACTGCAAGCATGGAGCCCAAGCAACTTTCGATGTTTGCTGTTCATATTCCAAGGGTTCGAGAAATGGACTGGATTTTGCCGTGTTCTAAAGGTCGAGCCTGATGGGAGAGGTCATCGTGTTCACCGTTTGCTTCGGTTGACATTCGTCATGATGCTTGGAATTACCATTCTGTTCCACCTGCCTTACTGGAAATGTCCACAAGACGCTCATGCCAGGGGCTTTCGAGTGGGTAAAGTCTCTATACATGTTTCCCGCAGGTAACCGAGTCCCTTGAACATGCCTGTAAGAAGCGCAGCAGTCGCGGTTTGGCACAGTCAATTGGTTGAATAAGTTGTCGCCTGTAGAAGTATGGAATGCAGCTGGCAAAACATGAAGGAGCTACTAACAAGTTTGAAGATTCCACGGATTTTGTCCTGACGAGTAAATCAAAGGGAACAATCTCATATGAGTCATAGATCTACATACTGCATAGACGTTCTATATCTTGACATTCCTGCTGTTGGTTTTCTTGACATGTACAGTCCAGCAGGGCAAGCGCTGAGGATGCTGCCCAGCGCTGGCGACGCGCTCTGTTTCTGGCACCTTTGGGGGACGAGGTGGGTGTGAATTCGGCAGCCAGCGCTGCCTCTGGGCCGCGCCCGGGCAGCGTGTAGATGGCACGATTCCCCCGTTTTGGTTCAATCAGTCACCCCCTCACCATAATATGGGAACTGATATGCTGTCCAGGGCTTCCCTTTACAACTCAGGAACCAAAACCAGGGTGCCCCCTTGTTTTTTTCCATGCCACTGAGGGTCTGGAGTATGGACTGGTCAACCTATGGACGGGAAGAAGAGGGTGCGCAACGAAAGGACGTTCATAGATGCTTCTTGGAAGGAAACCAATGATGTGCATGCCACTGCCATGGAATGCACCAAAACATCCCTTTTAGAGGAGACCGATCCCAGTCAGGTTACATGTTAATTAGTGGTTGGGGGGTAATGTAGGACACAGCGCGGGGGGCGGCGGCACACCCAATGTCTCCGTTTGTGGTCAAGGGAAATGGCGTGTGGGGGCGGGCAAGGATTTCGCCAGTTGTTGGTGGGCATGAGCGTTTGTTTCCTTGGGCTCACAAAGGCCAGGCTGGCTATGTGGGTTTGTCTCAACACTAGGCCCCTGGAAGGGTTTCCCTTTTGGTTGCCCTTTGGAAGAAAAAGGAGTTGCACCAAAAACAGACGCACCCATGTGGACACATCACTTAGACTTCAAGCGGCCAGTTCTTAAGGGGTTGTGGCCACGCTTCAAGGAATCCTGTTTATGTTCCGCGGCCGGGTCAGCCTTCCTTGGCGCGAACTTCTTCAAAGTAACACTGCGAAGCTGCGCATGGTGTTCCTTCACCTGTTGCGGGGGAACTTGTTGTCCATTCCGTATGGGTTCTGGGCACTCGCACAGAAGCCAGGGAATGGGGTTTGAAAGGGGTCCTTTTGGTGATGCAATTTCGCATGCTTAACAAGAACCGCTTGAGGGATGGAGCAAGGCTTCAGTACGCGCGAACCCCTGCCTCGAGGGCTTGGTGCCACAGCTTGGCGCTGACTGCAGGCCAGGGAGCAGCTGGTTTTACAGCAGGTTGTGATTTTGCGGCTTCTGCCTTTGCAAGGGACCTTGCCATGAAGACCTTGCCATCAATTTCAGCTTCTTGCCTTGGAGTTTGGTGAAGTGCAGGCACTCGCAATAGTTGACTGGTCGTTCGTGTCTTCTAGTTTGATTGGGAGGCAGGCCGTCCGCCTATTGCATTTGAATTCTCAGCCTGGGTGAAGATTGGCACACCGGAAGGTGACAGGCCCATCTCAACCGCCCGTCCAGGTGGTGATGTCGGCACTTTGGTCACCTCGAGCTCTTTGGGCTTGGCGTGGCAGGCGGGCCTTCTGCTTCTGCAGGATGCTGACACGCGACACGGCCACACGGGTGAGATGCAGAGACAGACAAAAACCTTCGGGAGAACAATCAGGGAGAGAGGCAGGGATATGGGCTGTTTTTGGCCACCATTCACCACTACCCTGCTTTTGTGAGGAGATTTGCTGCACCCGAATTGCTGCTAATTCGTTCGCTCGAAAAGCGAGAACACCGACACGGAGCTTGTGCGCGCACTTGTGTGTGTGTGTGTGTTTGTGTGTCTGTGTGTCTGTGTGTCTGTGTGTCTGTGAGTCTGTGAGTCTGTGTGTCTGTGTGTCTGTGTGTCTGTGTGTGTGTGCGTGTGAATGCTCTTGCTTGACATGCTCAGTGGCATTGATTGGCGCCCAAAGGCCCGCTCAACAGCTTGCTTCTTCTTTGTGAATGAAGTGTTGTATGCAGAGTTCCTCTATGTTGGGGGATCTACTGATCATTTTGACCGTTTGTGTGAACAATTAAGTTGAAGCAACTGGCATGCAACAAAATGTGTTGCGCCAGTGAGAGCTTGTTTTTTTGTGGTGTCGCTGCCTTGGTTTCGTCATGTTTCCTATCACGTAGTATGTACTTCCGCTGGTTGAAGAACACGATTCATATATAGGTGGATTGGCCAGTATGATCTAATTGTCCTGCAGCGATTGCCTGAGTCCTGGCACTCATCATACCACCTGACACCACATGTCAGCGATTGGCAGATGTTAAAGTTTCATCGACTGCAATGCTCGCGCGGGAACGGAGAAATGAAATTTGTGCATTTGAGGACGGAGGGCATCTTTGCAGTCGGCACAGTGGGGCTGGAAGGGGGACGGCGCTGGGGCAGTTGGAAGAACACGTGGCAGTATGGAGGGCATCCATCCATTCAGCTCAGAGGCTCAGTGTTTGTTGCTTCCAGTGTTTCAAACGCAAGTGATATTCATTTAGGTTTTCCAGAATGCTTTTTGTTTCTCCGCTGATATTATTTTTTCCGAGGCAAGATGTTTCACCTGGCAGGCTGCAAGACCCAGTGGGGCGTGGGAGTCGGGCTGAGGTTCAGCTCCTCCTACCAGAGCCTTTTTTGGGGCGCCCGGCAGCAAGCTCCCGGCCACTGGGCTCCCCCCCTGTTGCAGCAGCACCTCGGACGCAACTCGGGAGGTTAAACACCTACAGTTTCATTGGGTTCACTGTATTTTGATAGGAAAGACTGGATGGACGGAGTTTGGGGAATCTCCCTCCTTCACTGCCCTTGAGGTCCGTTGAGGTGGGGCCGGGAGATGGTGCATGGGGCATGCGTGTGGTACTTGGTCCGTTGGCGACCACTACAAGAGCACCGTTCATTGTTTCATGGGCTGCTGATGTTTGAGGCAAGGACGTTTACAAGGCGGACATTTGGATTGGTGATTGGCCAAGCCGTGTTGGGTGACACCAACGGCTAAGTTCGCTTGCTGACTTGGCAGGAGGCATGCGCACATTGAATGCCCCAAGATGCCCACAAAGTGGAATGTAGCAGTGACTCTCTGCATGGGTCGCAGCAATTGCGGAGGAGCAGGCCAGCAGGTTGGGTGATGCCCCTGGCAGATGCTGAAGTTTTAAGTCGGAAACCCCGCAATTGCATCGCTTTTGATTGGTGAACAGCACTCGGCCACGACGGGGCAGCAAACACCCAATTAGCAGGTGCCTGAAGCAGAATTACAAGCTAAGAAGGTGTTTGAACTCCGGCTTCAGCATGAAGTGCTTTTGACTCTGGCTCAGGCTGGCATTGAAGACTGCTGCTGCCATGCAGCGCGCGCGGAAAAGCACGGTCACGGGACCATGGGATGGGATGGCTGCGGACGCGATGGACGAACTTTAGATTCAGTGGGGTCAAATATGTCACAGGCAATTTGACAGCCGGGGCTGGATGCTGCATGTCAGCATCGCTTGGAAACTCGAATTGCGCGAGGATTGGGCCAAGAGTTGTGGTTTGACGAACCCACTAACTTTGCAGAATGCCCCCTGAAAGATCACAAACTGGCAGACAGAATGTTCTATGAGGAAATGGTTGCTTTGACTTTGCCTGCCTGCCTCATTTTGCCTACTCGGGACATGTAAGAAACCCCGCAACCACTATCAGTAGCGATGGCGAGTAACTTGGCAAGATGCCAATCCAACCTGGCGGTTTGACTTTCCACCTGCAGATTAGCAGGGAGCCCAAAAAGGGAGGTCCCTGGTCATTGGATCGCTGCGTGCTGGGCATATCGGCTTAGGTTAGATAGCTTTTGATTTGGCCTCCCTTGCCCTGGCCTCTAATGACGCCGCAGCCTCAGATGAGAAGAATGGAGTCGAGCATCCCCCCTTTTGTAAAAATGGAACAGGGTTTCTCAGAACATTTCATGTATGGTACCCTTTTCCGTGTTGTGGCGAAGACTGGATACATGGAATTGGGGGACCCCCTTCTCCCCCTTAAGGTGTGGCCTGATCTGTGACCAGCACAGTCAACGGGTTTCGGTTGCATCATGCAAGAAGTAAGGGCGCCGGCGAAATCCACATCAGTTTAGCCGACTTGCTATCCGCTTTTCTGGGAGTTGGGATCCGCAACCTTTCCTTGGCCTATGTTGGCCTCAACCATTTGTTGCTTCCATCTTTCAAGGCCTGCTTGGCATTTGGGGGGGCAACCGGACCGACCGATTCGGGCCCCGGGGTGAAGGAACGCTGAGTAAGGCAGTGGTAATCCAGCATGCTTTTGAGACATGTGTGCAACTGCAGCACGGTTGTCAGGCCACGTGTGCTGTACTGTGTTGGGCGGATTGCTCAGCTTCCGGCATTGCAACATTGTATGGAACGGCCAGTGCCGCAATCGGGTAGTAAGATTTCCTTCCTGTGGCTATGGCGAGCTGTTTTGCACCCCAATGGAAAGTCATCCTCGCAAAGGTCTCATCCAATTGCGCAGAGCCGGCCGCTTTGTCCAGCCCCTTGTGACGCTCCCCCGGCCCAAAAGCTGGCGAGCCCAGGGACAGAGGCAAACGGCCTGCGGATTCGAAGGCAGGGTCTTGTGAGCTGGGCATCTCAATGTTGCCAACTGCACACCTGCCCTGGGATGGCATATGTGTTTGCGCTGACGGGCCTTTATGTTGCCTGCTTTGTTGGTAGCCAAATCGGCACGGCAGCTGCCAAAGTGCTAGGCGTTGAATCATCCTACATCAAGGACCACATTTGGCTAGGCATGTAGGAGCTTCGTTTGCATCATGCTCTTTGCAAAACCTGGTCAATTGAGTTGAAGCCATCTTGGTGGCTGCTGCCAGGATTGTATGCACAGTTGAGCTGCTAGCTGAGTAGCAAGCAAGGCAGGCAGAAGGTGGGAAGCACCATGACTAAGTAGAACCAGCAAGCCTTCGACCATGACCACGTGCCACTTATTTTGTCACCGCGAGGCAGATATGGACAAAAGCTCCATCCGTTTCAGCAATTCATGGCAGCTGTTATTCAACATCAGCTTGTCCTGGCTTGCCGTGTCCTTACATCATTGTGAGCCAAACAGGCGTTTCATAGTCTAAAGATCCTGCAGCCCAACCCTTTGAAAATTGGTCCCCTTGCGCCTTGCAGCCTGGTGTTTGGATCAAACTCTGATACACGCAGAGTAGCACAAGCAGAAGTTTCATTGTGGCCTTGTGAAGCATGGTTGGCCAATCAAAATTCGGTTGCGTGGCTATGGTGGTAACCCTGGCTTTTGGCAGCTGTCCAGAGAAGTGGCTTTGATTTCGGCTTGTGAGTGTGATTAACGGCAGCAAGATGGGTCTAAATGTTGCTATCTGCTGTTTCTGCTTTTGTTTCTTGCATGTTGTCTATATGTATTGGACCGTTGCTTACGTTATGAGTTATGTGTTTTTGCCGCGGTGATGCTTCGACGCTGCGCAGTTTTAATTTGGCATGATTTGCATATGGAGTTTGTAGCCATGTCAAGCAACCCTGCTATCGAGCTACCGTTGGCACTCATTTCCCTTGCGCTTCGGCAGATGTTATGTGAAGAGACTAGGGCCGATGTCGGAAAGCCAACGCCTCAATCTCAGGTAGCGCCACAAGTATAAGTGTGGGTATTCAAGGGTGTTCATGTTGAATCTTCAAGCAACATGGGCAAGCTCCGCCGCGACTTCAGCTCTTATTGCCGCTGTTTGTGCCTTCCCAGGACTCGCCCCTGCCACTGCCACGCAATGAGACAGCCTGGCACGTTAGATAGCCGCGGGTTGACCGAGGAAATGCTGTCTGCCTGCTCAGGGGCAATAAATCACGTTGGGCTTGCATTCAAAGAGATGGAGCTACCAACGGTTTCGTTGCTCTTTTGTTGGCGTGTCGCCCCCCATGATGTCCGCTTGAGTCAAGGTGTGTCACGACTGTGGCCTGTTGTTTCCAATTGCCTCTGAAGGCAGCCACAAAGAACCGGCATTGCAACCCAGCGGCGCCAAGACCCGTTACCCCAACCCATCCTTTTACTTTTGGTCTGTTTTGGCCGAGGCTTTGAAATCTTCACCTTTTTATGTCCAGGTGCTTTGGGCCAGTGAGTCTGAAGGGGAGGGTCTGCCATTCGAGCTCTGCCAGGAAGGGCGGCATCCTCATCACAGAGGACGAGCTGAAGGCTTGAAACCGAACTCCGCGCGGCGCGATGACTGTGGGAAGGTGTCCATAGAATACGCTGAGCACGAAATAGCCCAGGATGTTGTTGCAAATAGAAACGCCCCAAAGGGGATGTTTTGCTGTGCACTCCTTTTGTTTGGCAACCGGCATGTACAGCTTTGTCATGAACATTCATGAACAGCCGGGCAGTCATAGTTTTAACCGCGTAGTCACCAGCAAGCAAGCACGCGTGTTCACATCATGCTTTTTCCTTGGACGCCTGCCTGTAGCCTTTCCTGGACCCTTCTTAGGGGCTTCCGACTTGGGATGCGACAATTTGGTTAGACCTTTCCCACCGAGAGCTGCTTGAGGATCCACATACGTCACTACAGAGAGCGTATCCATACTGACACTGCCATCTCCAGATTCGTTGCGAAGCCTTTCGACTTCTAGTGCTCATTGGCAAGCTCAGGCTTACCAGCGACTGGTGGGGCTGGTCAGCAGTTTGCCTACATGTGAGCTGGCCAAAAGAGAGACCGTGCAAGCGGCATCCGTTTTGACAAAGAGAGATCTCAACGAACTGATGTTACTTGCACATGGATCGACGTCCTTTCAGTTCTGGTGGTCTCAAGGTTTGTTGGACCATGGTTTAAGTGCCCGACCTTCTCAAAGCAAGGCGCTGAAATCTTGCTCGGATGTTTTAGTTCTACGAAACATTGAGACTAGTGACTTGCAGCTTCCTTGCCTGAGGATAAACCAGCCTCAGATGAGGATCCCCTTTAATGAACTTACTTTGGAGCATAGGAGTAATTTGCCCAGCAAGTTAAGGTTTGCTTGGAAGGCCTGTTTAGCAATTGATGTGGCACAAGCAGCTTGTGGGACAACTGGTGCACATCCCAGGCTTAATGTCAAACACATAGGAGAGCCTTAGCATGTGACGTCAAAGGTGCTATGCTGTACTGATTTCCATCATTTGCTGAAAACTCATTTTGGCCCCCCCTTTTCTGCAGCCATGACTTCGAAGTTTGGGTTCGCAGTGTTTGCACAGTGAGCTAGTTGTGGAGGACAGCTTGGCATGCCCGATGCAGGCTGGCACCCCTTTTTCCAGAACCCGTCCACAACCCGTTCACACTCCCCTGGCTTGTTTGTTTGTTTGTTTGTCATCGCTTACTTTGCTTTTGGCATTGAAGCGTTGGTTTTGGCCTGCCTTGCCCCTCGCTGTTGCCGGCTCGCAAGTGGCGGGCCCACTTCGGCCATCTCGGTTGCCAGGTCGCCTGGGAGTTCTTTGACACCAACGGCCGCGAGAAAGCAACCAGATTTGCGCGTGTGTTCTCCCCTTCCAGGTTGGGTGAAGAAAAACCAAAAGGATCAGAATCATTGAAGATCCTGAGACCTCAAGTTGAGCTCAGAATGCAGTGTTCCCCCAAACGTGATATTCCTGGATCCCCTTTCAAATGGGATACCCCAAATTGGGTTCCCGTTAGGGCCCTCGCTGCAGTTGCTTTGGGGTTGAAAGTTTCACTGCAGCGCAGACGGCCAAGCCTTTGGGCGCGAGTCAGCTATCCGGTTTTTCGCCTTTCCCCAACATTCCTTTTGTTTGTTTTCATGCCATGTTTGCTTGTTATTTTGTGCGCCGGATCTCAGATGATTTCAATCCGAGACAACTTCTCACGCATTGTTGGAAGCCGTTGCTCCACACGGTCAGGACAATTCTAGGCGGTTGCTGAGCCTAAATGTTTGTCAGTCTTTCTGCGCGAGACAGAGATCACAATGCCTTGCGCACCTTATAGACTAGGTTTGCTGAGCTGAATTGATCAGGCGTGGTCTGGTTGGAATCAACTCATGGGAATTCTGGACAGGTACGCTGAACCCGATGGATCGCCCTGTTCACAAGCGACAGCCTAGGTTTCACGGCACAGGTTGGGAAGCCATTGAACCATGGCCAGTGCCACTTGGAGGCCTCGGCTTGGCTCGTGCCAGCTGAGGAAAGGGAAAGCTCACCATGTCCGAAATCAAGCGGCGCCTGCAGACCTTTTACAAGGACAGGGGGACATGGGGACACGATTGCTCGATTTGTTCTCGGAATGCTGGGGCTTTCTCAGATTGCAGGTTATCACAGTTATCACACCTTTGTTTGCAGGCCTCAGCTCAGCCACCTCAGCAGCCATCCTCTCTTGTTGAACCCAACCTTCCTGTAGGTGTGGACCCGCCCTTTATCCTTAGCAATTGTCGGATGAGTCTAAGGGTGACTCTTGGCTGGCAGGGGCAGGCCTGCAGCACATAGATGTACAATATGTTTTTTTTGTTTGCTTAGTTTGCTGGCACTAGGGTTGCGCATGTCCGGTCGATGCGTGACGGCAGCACGCCGATACGGTTTGAACCTTGCCATCCTCAGCATAGTTGGAGCCACATGTGTTCCATTAAAGTCATTGGATGATTCTTAGAGACTTCAGTGACTTTAGGATCCGCTGTTGTTTCGATCCGGCTTTCTGCCAGTAGCAATCTTGCTTCAGGCTTGTTGGTTGGCCCTAGTGTCCGCTTCCTTCCCTTTCAGAAACAACAATTCAAGCTCCATTTAACTGCCAGCGGTTTCAAGTCCAACAATCCTCACACGATATATCCAATCGCCTGCCTTTGTGGTTTTTCTTGCACGCGGCTGTGCCGAACAATTTGTGTGGCTCGTGGCCCTTATTCTGTTCGAGCTGGTTCGAAGCTGGTAGCTTTCGGTCCGCGCCTGAGGACATCACAACCAGAGAGGTGAAGTTTTTGCTGAACAACCAGCCAGAGATCAGCTTTGATGCCCGGATGCCTGGAACTGGCACCAAGTCTTGGCAACTGGTGCGCGCCGCTTAGTTCACCTGAACGCTTGCTACTGCCACCTGTTTTGGGGTTCTCTGTTTGCGGGGGAATATGTTGTGAAGATGAGGGCTTGAATTGGAATCCTGTTTGGCGGTGTCAGCATGAGGTTCAGCGAGCGTTCCCAAGATGTTGCTTTTGGGTGCAAGCAGTTCGTGACTAGATATCTAGATTCAGTTGGGACTCAGGGCTTGTGACAAAAGGCTTGCTCCACGGAATTCACACCTTTGTTCGTGAAAGCGCGCGCGGGTCTATGTTCAATGCTGACTATTCCTCAGAAATCTAACCGTGAAAAAGGCAATGTGTTTGGAGTTGCCTTGGTTGACCGCCGGGGGTCATGCATGCTACGTTGCAAGATTTGAGCTCGCCATCTAGCAAACATATGTGTGTGTACGTGAAACAAGTGTATATATATATATATATGTATATGTTCATATGTCCTACATATCACGTACATATTTTTGCATATGCATATAAATATATACATACGCCGCTTTCGGAGTTGCGCAGCTTGCCCCCAGCGGCCAGGCTACTGTGGTGCGAGCAAGAGCGTCACATGAAGCGACGCCAAGTTAGAGTAACCTGCCAAGACCAGCAGCTGGATATCAAGCCAAAAGTGCACTTACATAAAATGATCACGCCCCCGGGTCGCCCATCACCCCGGGAATCTTTGTGTTCCCCTGTGGGCTCTCAGTTTAACCTATTTCAGCCAAGGTTGCTCACGGTTCACAGGTGCCATGATCAAACGCTCTGCTCACTTGGGCTTTCTGCATTGGGGCATAGATTTTCACGGGGCATGATAGTCACCATGCCATGGGCTTTCATTAAGGGAATCAGGACCACCATGACCCATGTCGGGAAATTTTGACCATGCCACCCTACTTGCGACTGGCGAGTGAGCTTGGAGCTGCGCCAGGAGCTGTACGCTTTGCTCAAGGACAATCAGCTGACGAATCCTGGCTGGGAGCGGAACTTGTGGAATCTTGTGGAGTGTTTTTGCCTGGTGGCGTTTGACAAATTTTACTTTGTGTCTAAAAGTCGTGTCGGCCAGCGGCCAGATGTCTCTGGTACTGCCAGTGTGGTGCTGAGTTTAGCGTTTTTCTGTGTATATACTCTTCCTGCCAAATCTGTAGCCAGAAGCTAACTCCACCGCATGGACGGCCTTGCAGCCCTACGCATTCCTGAAGTGTCCCAAGTTGTCTCCTAACATCCTCATCCCCTCAAATGCATTTCCGGGGTACCGCCTGGAATTTCGTTCGTGATTCCATTGTCCCTTTCGAAGGAAGGATCGCAAAGTGAAGTTACGTTGGGACTCCCACAACCCTACTCTTTCGTTGGGTGCGGGAGGTCTTCGAGAATCATCTTCTCGGCACCTTAGTACTTACAAAAAGCCCCTCCAAACGTTAGGGACGTAACAACTCTTGATGCGTTGCAAATCCCAAGGTTTTGACCATTCTGCATTCTGGACCAGCGAAACTAAAAAATGCATCATCCACACCGCCTTTTAAGGAGCATGTACTATTGAGACGCATACGTTCCATGCGCCCTCTCATGCTTAAATGACTGTTGTCGCCGACCCCTCTCTTGCAAACAACAAGTTGAGGGTGGTTTTGGCATTCCCTCCAAAAGCCCTCTAGCAAGAGCCTCATTGGAGACTCCTGGATCTAGGTATGGACATCATGACCTTGTATATAGATATCCACATAAGGCAGCCCATGTTTGAAGGTGCCTTTTTTTTTGGAGGTGTTGGAGCTGAGCTTATTCTGGGCTGACCACAGTTGCCCTCGTTTGCGACATTCTCTCGAGGAACTTCGACCCAGTGAAGGAAGCCTTCAAGGCTGGCACCGTTTGCACAAACTGCAGCTGAAGCTCCAGTATTCCTATTGGAATTGGAGGAGGGAACCCTTGGATCTTCATTTTGTCCACTTTGCAGGGAGTAGGAAAAAGGATCCAGGGCGCCCCGTGGAGCTCTCCCTGGGGGGATCCTGGGATTTGGATTTGCGAAGAGTGACTTGGTTGCCCTGGTCTGTCTAACTCTTTCTCAGGAGTTGCAAGGGTGGACTTTGGGCGCTCCGCTGAATTCCCCTTCTCTTGCCTTGGGCTGCTTTTTTAACCTCATCCTAGAACAACTAAGGGGAACCCCTCCAACAAGCTTCCTACACGTTGAAGCAGCTCCTTGATTCTTCCACAGGCATGCTTACGATTTTGATGGGGATTTGCTCTCAGAAATGGCAGGCGTAGCGTCCCACCCAAATGTCCACCGAATCTGCGTGCAGCTTGGCTCAAAGCCGGCCATGGATAGCTCCAAGTTCCTGCAGCTGCCGGCGAAAGGCGCACTCGGACGTTCGCATGTGTCACTTGATGGGGGCGATCCCAAGATGGGTTCCCATTGCGATTGGCATCCCATGGATTGTACGAACTTTGCTCAGGTAAACTTGTCATGGTGGATAAACGTTAGATATCCGCACTCCCAATCCATGCGATCTTGCCAGGTCAGCTGCCACACCTTGTGCGATGCGGGGTGTTTGGGGTTTCAGACAATGTATGTTTGTGGGGTTTTGGTTTAAGGTTTTTGGGGTTTAGGCTGAGGGTTTTAAGGGCTTAGGTTCATGATTTTTTGCGTAAGCTTAGGTGAAGGGTTTTAGACTTCAGAGTTGATGGTTTTAGGGTCTAGGCTTTGGGGTGTAGGGTCAGTGCAAAAGCAAGCTCGTCAGCAGACAATCTGGGTTGTCGGAGCTGAACTCTCGATAGCCCCAAAAAGCTTTCCGTGCGCAAGAACTTGTGTTGGCCGCAGTTGCACCACTGTGTTGTTGGTAGGCCCCTCGTCTGTACCCGCGTTTTGCGACTCGTCTGTACCCGCTGGAATCCACTCGTTTCTACCCGGGTGGTGGGCGCAGATGAGTCAGATTGATGGCAGTCCCCTATGCTCTAAACCTCACAAATGCAGTACTCACAAGTATTGTGTGGGCGCAGATGATCTTAGGTGTTTTGGGGCTTTACAGCTCTTAGAGAATATTGTGAGAAACTGCCATAGGTGTCTACTATGGGTCACGTGCGGTACGATTCGCTTTCACCAACAGTCCCTGAATGTAATGAGCGGAGCTCCTGGAGTCAAGGATGTGTTTTAGAAGCTTCATTCGGCATGTTGTCAAAGATCCTAAACCCTGAAAACCCTAAACCCTAAGCCCTAAAAACCCTAAACCCAAAAAAACCCTGAACCCTAAAAACCCTAAACCTTAAAATCCTTAAACACTGAAGACCCTAAGCCCTAAAAACCCTAAACCCTAAAAACCCTAAACCTTAAACTCCCTAATCAACAAAGATCCTAAACCCTAAAAACCCTAAACCCTGAAAACCCTTAACCCTAAAAACCCTAAACACTGAAGATCCTAAACCCTGAGGACCCTAAACCCTAAAATCCCTAAACCCTGAAACCCCTAAGCCCTAAAAACCCTAAACCCAAAAAAACCTGAACCCTAAAAAACCTAAACCCTAACATCCTTAAACACTGAAGATCCTAAGCCCTAAAAACCCTAAACCCTAAAAACCCTAAACCGTAAAAACCCTAAACCCTAAAAAGCCTAAACCCTAAAAAGCCTAAACCCTAAAAACCCTTAACCCTAAAACCCTAAACACTAAAGATCCTAAACCCTGAAACCCCTAAACCCTAAAAACCCTAAACCCTAAAAACCCTAAACCCTGAAAACCCTTAACCCTAAAAACCCTAAACACTGAAGATCCTAAACCCTGAGGACCCTAAACCCTAAAATCCCTAAATCCTGAAACCCCGAAGCCCTAAAAACCCTAAACCCAAAAAACCCTGAACCCTAAAAAACCTAAACCCTAACATCCTTAAACACTGAAGATCCTAAGCCCTAAAAACCCTAAACCCTAAAAACCCTAAACCTTAAACACCCTAATCACTAAAGATCCTAAACCCTGAAAACCCAACACCCTAAACCCTAAACCCTGAAAAACCCTAAACCCAAAAAAAGACTGAACCCTTAAAACACCTAAACCCTAAAAACCTTAAACACTGAAGATCCTAAACCCTAAAAACCCTTAACCCTAAAAACCCTAAACACTGAAGATCCTAAACCCTGAAGACCCTAAACGCTAAAATCCCTAAACCCTAAAAACCCTAAACCTTACAAACCCTAAACACTACAGATCCTAAGCCCTAAAAACCCTAAACCCGAAAAACCCTGAACCCTAAAAAACCTAAACCCTAAAATCCTTAAACACTGAAGACCCTAAGCCCTAAAAACCCTAAACCCTAAAAACCCTAAACCTTAAAACTCCCTAATCAACAAAGATCCAAAACCTGAAAACCCTAAACCCTAAAAGCCCTTAGCCCTAAAAACCCTAAACCCTAAAAACCTAAACCCTAATGACCCTACGCCCAAAAAAACCCTAAAGCTCTCTGTGGGCAGGGATGAACCCAAAGTGTGGGCGCAGATGATCCTCCGCTGACCCCTTTTTGCAAAGGGTCAACTTTTATGTATTCGCGAAAGAATCTGTGGGCGCACATGAGTCAGAAAATGTGGGCGCAGATGAGTCACCTCTGTGCGGGCGGAGATGAGCCGAAAATGTGGGCACAGATGAGCCCCCTTCCGTGTTGTTTGAGCTGGCTGCCAGGCATTGTCATTTTGCTCCGTGCCGCAGAAAGCCTGTTTCGCCAGTCATCAGTCATCCCATGTTGCACGCTATACATACACATAAATACATACAAATAAATACATACACAGAAAGACAGATACATACATATATATATACACCTTTTAGATACCTGACTCGGTGAGCAAGCAGGACAAGTTAACAGTGCAATATTTTTGTGGTGTATTGTGAGTTTTGAATGCCTTGAACAAGCCGTGCTGCTGCCTCAATGCTGGATTGGGACGCCAGGTGCCAACGCACCTGCAGTGCTCTTTCGGAATTCCTACCAGAGCCTTGGCTGAGAGAGCTCTGCAAAAGCAGATGCAACCTGGACCACCCATCCACTATGGCGCCGTCTGAGTGGATTTGCTCATGCCTTTTGTGTTGATCTGCGTTTTGCGTCTGGGAGAGTGAGAGCAATTTGTTAATCAGCAACCGCCACAACCAAGTGTTCTCGGCTTTTCTTCGGGGAGAGTGATGGACCCTTTTCAAGCGAAACTGTCAGCGAGTGTACAAGATGTTCACCACACCAACAGAAAGCAGAAATCCATGCAAGTGTAAATTTCTCTTCTGAAAGAAGACTGGACACCAAATCACCCCACCCCCTTGCCCCCTTTTGGTGGGAACACTAATTCTGAGATGAATTGAACTGGAGTACCTTCACCTCACCCTTGGGACAAAAATCAGCGCGATGTAGGAGTGGTGTGTTTTCCATCTTCTACGCCATCGGCCGGCACCCCTTGTACCTCTTCAAGGCCTCGGTGCGGAATGGCCACATCCGCCGTGTCACGGACGAGGACTTGGGCTCCGCTGCCCTGGAGGCGGTTTTGCGGAAATTTTGATGGCGGACCTTTGGAGGGCCCTGGATGCTCAAACTACGCAAATGTTGACCTCAAATGAACCAACCCCAGTGTATTAAGGGGGGTGTGTCCCTGGGTTTGGGAATCGTCACGTTTGGAAAGGAACACCCTATTAATAAACTGGAGTTGATTAATATTTGGTCAACATTAGGTTATAACATATAATCATGGGATTGGTTGACGTCCAAGGCAGGGGCTGCTTGGATGCTGAACTGGTTGCCAGCTCCGGTGTTATGATACCAGGAAATTCTGGGTTGATAAACATGGCTGTGTTCTTTCTGCATGGGTATGGTTTCCTCCCTTTGATTCATTAATCTGGTGTTGCTCTGGGCTGGTTGATTTGGGACTGTCCATGAAAGTAATCCCCGAAACTTGACGAACACCTGCAAAGACATAATGTGCCGACCAAGGAGTACACATTAAGCCAGTGTTCCCCATGGGTAATGCCAAAATCGTCCGTTGGGAGATGGCAGTCGATAAATACGTCGCGTCGGACCGCCATTGTTTCCAAGCTCGAGTGCACTTCTCGCCAGGTGGCTGGCAACAACGTCAGTACCACCATGGTGACCTGCCCCGAGCAGGACAAGCAAACACTAGGCTGCCTGGGCTGGCCGTGGATGTTGTCTGGACTGAGGACACTAGCCTGGCATGCTTGGCTTCATGGATGTGCGTGGCAAAGAACCCTGGAAAAACCGTAGATTGCTGCAATGTAGCTTCCAGGGAATCACGACATACCACGGCCATTGTTCGAGGTGTGTGATGCGCGCGCTTGTTTGTCCTCCTAAGCGGGTTGACAGCACATACGCACTTGTTTTGGCATGTGGGTCGTCTGGTTTCGGTCGTCTGGTTTCAGCAATGAGGTCCAACCGCTCATCGTTCAACTCAAGCCCATGTTGGAATCACATGCCCTTGCTCGTATGGGATTGTATGCCACATGGGTTCCTCTCAATATACGCACATTTGCGTAAGCCGGCTTGCATTCGCATGCCGCCCCACAATCGGTGGTTGAAATGCCTCGGACGGTATGCAGGCATCAAATTGCCCTTCCTCACCATGCTGGTGAAGAACCTCAACAAGTGCCCTGCCTCAAATGGGAAATGCATGTTGGCACACCAGGGTGCGTGTATGGATTCGTCCCACTTGCAGGCATTTGGCTTTTGTTGCACCTTGAAAGCCCGTGTGGGGGGGCAGTGGCTGGAAGCTGGGTTGTAAGAGTTGGCAGCAAACATGGCGGCCGGTGCAAGCTGTACCAAGATGATCAGCATCAAAGTGTTTTTAGCTTTGCACAATCTGAGAATGTCCTCCTTGTGCCTGTGTCCAG